ATTTTCACCGTATTACACCTCAGTCCTTCATCACATCCGAAGTATAGAGGACTTATTTTAATCGGGCAAAAATTATCAATCCAGATTTATCAAAATTAAGAGGTTTTATGCGTAATCCAGTCTGAAAAACTGGGCTTTGCAAATCTGTCCGTATGTCTGTGTGTGTGTCTGTGTGTGTCTGTCCGTGTGTAAACACGATAACTTGAGTACCGTTACAGCTAGGTTGATGAAATTTCATATATAAGTATTATATCAAAATCGTAGATCCGTATCAACTTTTGAGCGATTTCCGACAACCAGAAGTGGTACTTTTTCTACTTTGAATTTTTCAAAAGCCTATAACTTGAGTACTATTTCAGATAGATAAATGAAATTTCACATGTAAGTAAAAGATCTAATTCTCTACCTTCTGTTAAATTTTGAGTAATTTCCGTTGACCGGAAGTAGTAATTTACGCTACTTCCGATTTCTCAAAAACTAATGTAAATTTATTAAGTACTAATACTATTGCGCACTATTATACACACCTTTATTAGGCGTTCGCTTGGTGCGCAATTGTTTTTTACTGAGATTCTATTCTATTTTTAAAAGTTTCAGTATTTAAAATGGATTAAAAATCATAACTATATCCCCGTTACCATCCCCTGTTGTTTTATATAAGAATATTCGAGAAAGTTTAGGGGAGATCACTACCGGTTTATTTTCCATTTTGCCGTTCTATAGCCCAAAACAAATGTAAAAAAAACACACCTAAAGAGTAGAATTTTTTTAATCAATGTCATTATGTAATCAAAGATGCAAATGCAGAGAACTTGAAAATACTTTTTTACATTCTAGGCTACAGTTCTATTTATTTTCATCGAGCCTAAATTATATCGCTAATAGCCGCAAAGGCTGTCGGAAGACAGTTTTGTTAGATTTTCAGTTTTTTCTAAGTCAGTTACTAAGGTTAAAATGTCATGGAAAAAATGGTAGAAAAAAACTAATTTATAATCGATACCGCCCGTCCCTTACACCATTACGTTGGGAATGTAAAGGCGGCTGGGCACTATTTTTCATATGCTGAGGTCACTAAAAGATATGCCCTCTACCTGCCCCATCGACCGCCAGTTTCGAAAGGGAAATTTACTAACAGAGAAGTATTAGTATTGTAAATATCAAACAGACCACACAATCCAATAATGAAATCTGTTATACTAAAACAAACATGGCAAGGTAAACTGACACTGTAAATTACATGCCTGAGGTAATTTAAAAAAAAAAGGAAGTTTCACTTTCATTAGATAAACATTGTTTGGCTGTATAAGAACTCAGTGATCGATCTTCTAAAAACCATACTTTGAAGTAATTTGTTCTCAAAACTTTGCCGACTTTTTATTAGCTATTCCATGTTTATTTACATTTTCAATAATAAAAACAAATTGTTTTGGGCTTCTTTTTTTTTGTTTAGTTACCGAAAATACTAATCAATCGTATCCAATGTTTAGTAAACTTCAACAAAAACCTCAACAAACATTTTTTTAACCATGTTTATTTTAATTACGCTGCATACGACTTTTTAAAAATTATAATGAACCATTCAAGACTAACCGTGGCTACGTTCATTAATGATTATTTTTAATTGTTAAAAATATATTTATTTAATGGGGTTGTGAAGAAACGACGTCTGAATCCTAAGAAGGGGAGGGGTGGGGGTATAGTTGGATGTTCAAAGTAACAAAAACTAAGCTTATTACATAAATTATATACATTGATTTCATTGAATTTTTAAAGTTTTAATTAATTTTGATCATGCTATAAAGTTGATCAGAAGACAAAAAGATAAACAAAATAAAACAAATCTTTGCCAAATGCCAACAATAAGAATAGCTCCCACTTATCTAACACATGCCATTATTTAAGCAGATCTAAACAATGTTGGACTTATACAAGTATTAAAGTAAATAATAACCTTATTATTATTAAATGTAAAGTTGCGCGAATAAAGTTTTTCAAATGATACTTCCACAGCAATATGTGGAGGAGAAATTACAAAAGAGGAAGGTTTCTTGACAAGTCCAAACTACCCTGATGCTTACCGGGCAGAGAAAGTCTGTATCTGGAAGATCACAGTCGCTCCGGAATTTACAGTAGCACTCCAGTTTCAAGAATTTGAGGTGAAATTTTTACTCTAGCACTCCAGTTTCAAGAATTTGAGGTGAAATTTTTACTGTAGCACTCCAGTTTCAAGAATTTGAGGTGAAATTTTTACTGTAGCACTCCAGTTTCAAGAATTTGAGGTGAATTTTTTACTGTAACACTCCAGTTTCAAGAAGATGAGGTGTAATTTTTATTTTAGGAACCCATGATAAAATTTATGTTGATTTTAAATCATTCATGATAAAATGTAAATTTAAATTATTTTTAATCTGTAAAAAAGTTAAACACTTTTAAAATTCAAATCATACCGTAGAAGCTAATATTAAATCGATGTTGTCTAATATTGTGCAAGGAAAAATTGAAGAATAACAGTTTTTAAATCTTATAATGTAGGGTATAAATTTGTTTTTATCTAATAAAAGTGGGAGGATGAAATTGTTTTTTGTATCTTAAAATATTGAGTTCTTTAATTGTTGGGTAACAGTTTGCTATTTACCAAACAATGTGAGGGTAATAACTTGTTCATTATCTAATAATGTGTGTGAATGTGTGTGTGTGTGTTTGGCAGTGGCGTAGCTACCGTAAAGCTAGCTTAAGCAAGGCATACATAGGGCCCAAGGAACATAGGGGCCTCTTATAACACCATTTTAATTATCTGTTTTAGCAAGCAAGTTCACACGTCTAAAAATACACAATTGTTGACGCGATGATGAAAACCTTGAAAGATGTATGGTTAGCCTGGTTTGATTACTTATATGTTACAGGCTTACAGTTTTTTGTTTTGTTTTACAGAAAAGTGAAATAAAATCAAATATATTTTACGTTACGGATAACTATATGATAATACAGTATACATACTCAATCAGGGGTAATAAAATGCAAAATGTACACAGTATTTCTATTATTTAAAATCCCTTCCTCGTAAATAGTCGATTTCTTCGATACCCATGTTTAACACCGCTATAGACTAACGGCCGACTGGGGGCAATTTTTGCATAGAAAATCCTAGCTACGCCACTGGTGTGTTGGAGGGTAACATTGTTTTCTCTACCGTATAATGTGGGATAGCGGTTTATTCTTAACCTTATAATCGTCGTGGATGGTGGTAATAACTTATACATTATCTAATAATGTGTGTAGGGGGGGGGAGGTAACAGCTTGTACATTAACTAATAATGTGTGTGTAAGGGGGGGGGGCTTTTAGATATCTGTCTTAAAACAGTTATTTCTTCGTTTTATAATGTTGGAGGCGCAGTCATTTGTTTCACTTTCACTAGCAATTTTGTAGTCACAGTCATTTGTTTACCTTGTAATGTGGAGTCACAGCAATACCTTGAAGTCATCGAGATTAGTTTAGCATGTTTACAGAGGTTGAATTGACCATGTTTTTCCCTCAGTTCTAGTTTATTGGAAGTAATAAAAAAAACTAGCAATTCGATGTGAAAGTTTGATCTTCTTCAACAACTATCATTGAATTTGACATTAAGATAGCTTAAAATGTCCACTAGATAAGTGTCTGCATGTTATAAACGTTTCCTGATATCCCTAGATAAAAACATTTCCTATTATCCCCAGATAGAAAATCACGATGACTGTGTTTATGACTATCTTGAAATAAGAGATGGACCAACTGAGGTCTCACCGCTGATTGGTAATTTTTGTGGCTACAAAATACCAGAAGATATCAAATCTACTGGAAGACATATGTATGTTAAGTTTGTCAGTGACGGCTCCGTGCAGAAACAAGGTTTTTCAGCAACATTTGTCAAAGGTCAGTTAGAATGTTCAGCTTTCAGTTTTCCTTCAGAATTTCGAGAGAATTGCTGTAGTTAGCTTGTTATAAAAGATAGTTTTTTGAGAAATAAACCTCGATGGAGTGTTGTGAAAAGCTTATTTTGGAACACTGCCGTAGCTAACCCGTTTAAAATAAACTAGTTTTGACCGCCACAATATTTTCCTTCCATTTCTCCTCACCAGAAATGCACTACTTTTCAATCCCTTGCACTTGATTAACACGCAACTATTTATATCTATAATAGGCGACCCAGTTTCCCGTTTGATAACGTTCTGTTGCTATACTACGCTGTCTATCCCAACAGCAATGCTACCCCTCTGCATACACACGAACTCGTGACCATCCATTTCGTCATACAACTTACCGAGGATGTCCAGCATTTTATTTTTAATTATGTATTCGTTATTTTTTTAATCGCTTATCTAGTCATTTTTACTTTTTTTTTTTTTTTTGTAGATCTAATCAATTTATTTTTACTAGGACTAGGACCTAGCTAGATCTTCTGCAAGTTTTTATTTCTGTGTTTCTTAAGATGCAAGGATTAATTAATACACTCGATTTTATTATTTGAATTTTGATCTACTAATTGTTTGGCTAATTTTCTGTCGATTAAACTTAAAATTAGGTTTAATCATTAATTTAATACACTCGACTTCATTTATATTTCGACGGTCAAATAAACTATGGTTTACAATAACGAATGCTTACGATCCATCTATCCATCCATCCGTCCATCCTTCCGTCCGTCCGTCCGTTTGTCTGTCTGTCTGTCTGTCTGTTTGTCTGTCTGTCTGTCTGTCTGTCTGGTTTTTTGCCTGCCTGTCTGTCTGTCTGTCTGGTTTTCTGCCTGCCTGCCTGCCTGCCTGCCTGCCTGCCTGCCTGCCTGCCTGCCTGTCTGTCTGTCTGTCTGTCTGTCTGTCTGTCTGTCTGTCTGTCTGTCTGTCTGTCTGTCTGTCTGTCTGTCTGTCTGTCTGTCTGTCTGTCTGTCTGTCTGTCTGTCTGTCTGTCTGTCTGTCTGTCTGTCTGTCTGTCTGTCTGTCTGTCTGTCTGTCTGTCTGTCTGTCTGTCTGTCTGTCTGTCTGTCTGTCTGTCTGTCTGTCTGTCTGTCTGTCTGTCTGTCTGTCTGTCTGTCTGTCTGTCTGTCTGTCTGTCTGTCTGTCTGTCTGTCTGTCTGTCTGTCTGTCTGTCTGTCTGTCTGTCTGTCTGTCTGTCTGTCTGTCTGTCTGTCTGTCTGTCTGTCTGTCTGTCTGTCTGTCTGTCTGTCTGTCTGTCTGTCTGTCTGTCTGTCTGTCTGTCTGTCTGTCTGTCTGTCTGTCTGTCTGTCTGTCTGTCTGTCTGTCTGTCTGTCTGTCTGTCTGTCTGTCTGTCTGTCTGTCTGTCTGTCTGTCTGTCTGTCTGTCTGTCTGTCTGTCTGTCTGTCTGTCTGTCTGTTAGTCTGTCGGTCTGTCGGTCTGTCTAATTTGGTTGGATTAACATGTAAGAAGAAGGACGTGATTCTTAGAGTAACACTGGGGAAGGAAGAATTATCGACAACAATAGGGTGGCTAAACTTATGGACGACCAAAAACAGAAATTTTAATTAATTCTTTTTACAGCAAATGACAAAATGTATCGAAGGGTGCAAAGAAAAATTTAAGATTAGCTCTTTGTAATGTGACAAAATCTATGACAGATCACACCAATTGATGTAAGTAGATATTGTTAATGTAAAACTGTGTCCGTCATTTGGTCAGAGAACGACGAATGTAGCAGTGAGGAGCACGGCTGTGACCACGAGTGTGTCAATACGCTGGGCAGCTACAGGTGTTCCTGTCGTATAGGTTATGAGCTGCATTCGGATGGGAAAAGATGTGAAGGTAAAATATTTCTTGTCAACCTCTACCTTATACCCAACTGCATGGTCAAATCAAGTAGTTTCTTTATATAAGCTTTTATTTGACTTGATTCCGTGTGCTTACTGCTCTTTTCTTCGTGCTTAGTGCATCGCCGATTGAAATTTCAGCAAATGTTACCGTAACAAACTTGAAACGAAGGTCAAGTCCCGATAACAAAACAATGTGTCAAACTTCGTTGTAATTAGACGTTTAACTAATTTTAAAAAAATAAAACTAATTAATTTTTTTTTATTTCAAGTACTGATCTTCCCTCGCTCTTACAGACAGTTCTGTGTTTCAATTTAGTGGGCCTGTATTTTTTTTTAAACATTGCTATTGTTTTTACTTACTTACTTACTTACTTAGTCCTCTTTGTTCCTTATGGAGCATAGGGCCTCCACCATTTCCTTCCATTTCTTCCTATCCTCGGCTATTAATTTTGACATCTCCCAAGACATCCCTATTGGCTTCAGTTCTTCAAGAAGACTCCGCCTCCAGGTCTGTCTTGAGCGCCCTCTCTTCCGCTTTCCCTGGGGGTTCCACTCAAGCGCTTGGCGTGTAACATTTGTGTGAGCCTTTCGCAGTGTGTGACCCACCCAGCGCCACTTCCTCCTTCTTATTTGCACACCTATAGGCTCCTGCCTAGCTTTCCTCCATAGTTCCAAGTTCGGCACTTTGTCCTGCCATCTCAGTTTCAGTATCTGTCTAAGGCATCTATTCATGAAGGTTTGTATCTTTGCTGTGCTTGCCTTGGAGACTCTCCATGTCTCTGCTCCATACAGCAGAACTGCCTTGACATTAGAGTTAAATATCCTAATTTTTGTGGTAATGGAGATGGCCGAACTTTTCCATATGGGTCGCAGGACTGTGAAAGCGCAGCAGGCTCTATTAACTCTAGCGCGTATGTCCTCTATTGTTTTTATGAAAGCTAAACAGGGGCGTAGCGAGGGGGGGGGGCGGGGGGTGCGGACCGCACCGGGTGACACCATTTAGGGGGGTGACACCAAGGCAAAAAATAGCAAAATATATAGAGAAAAACTCGAGGGGGGGTGCAAATCGAAAGTTTGAGGGGGGGGGGGTGCAAATCGAAAATTTGAAAGTTTGTCCCTGGGAAGGGTCTCTATGCCTCTGGGGGGTGACACCATTAAGTGCCGCACCGGGTGACACCCGACCTCGCTACGCCACTGAAGCTAAATAACTTTTTACTTTCTCGTATATACGTAGTATAGAGAAAGTATTGTAATCGTGCAAAAAAAAAAATCGAGATTTTTACAAATCTCGACGTTTTACACCTCACTGATACGGAAAAACATAATTTTGCAATCTTGTCCGTATGTCTGTGTGTGTGTGTGTCTGTCTGTGTGTGTGTCTGTCCGTGTGTAAACACGATAACTTGAGTACCGTTACAGCTAGGTTGATGAAATTTCATATATAAGTATTATATTAAAATCGTAGATCCGTATCAACTTTTGAGCGATTTCCGACAACCGGAAGTGGTACTTTTTCTACTTTGAATTTTTCAAAAGCCTATAACTTGAGTACTATTTCAGATAGATAAATGAAATTTCACATGTAAGTAAAAGATCTAATTCTCTACCTTCTGTTAAATTTTGAGTAATTTCCGTTGACTGGAAGTAGTAATTTACGCTACTTCCGATTTCTCAAAAAACTAATGTAAATTTTTAAAGTACTAATACTATTGCGCACCATTATACACACCTTTATTAGGCGTTCGCTTGGTGCGCAATTGTTTTTTTACTGAGATTCTATTCTATTTTTAAAAGTTTCAGTATTTAAAATGGATTAAAAATCATAACTATATCCCCAGTTACCATCCCCTGTTGTTTTATATAAGAATATTCGAGAAAGTTTAGGGGAGATCACTACCAGTTTATTTTTAATGCAAAAACATTTCTAAAAACAAGCTTTTGTTACACGAAATTGAATTTCAAAAAATTCATAAAAAACGTTTTAATTACAAGCTTTTATGTTCTAATGCACTAAAAAGTAGAAAATAAATTATAAACACTATTTAAACAACTATAAAGAAAAGCGTGGGTCTCTTCCTAAACATTAGTAAAGGTATCCAATAGATACTAAAGTGACCCACGCTTTTCTTTATAGTTATTTAAATAGTAGTCTATAATTTATTTTCTACTTTTTAGTGCATTAGTACATAAAAGCTTGTTATTAAAACGTTTTTTTATTTAAAAAATTTTAGTACTTTACATATTTTTATTTACAATAGAGTTTCATGACTAAAAACCATTTGAACGTGATGACGCGTTATTTAACGTGATGACGCGTGTGGTGTGGTTGGATAGAAATGCCTACTAATTTAATCACAATTTTAATAAATTCTTAAATTAATTAGGCATCTAATTAAGTCAAATTTAATGTCCGGATGCATTGTCTTCATGTCTTGATCCACGTACCAATTACGTACCGTATCTGTCAAGTAGAAGTGCCTGCAATTTTGTTCCGGCGTTTCGATCTAGAATGAGTTAAATAAAAGCTTGCAATAAAAAGATTCCCTTAAATCTCTTACTCTCTCTCTCTTACTCTCTATCTCTCTCTCTCTCTCTCTCTCTCTCTCTCTTTCTCTCTCTCTCTCTCTCTCTCTCTCTCTCCACCACTGTTTAAATAACTTTAAAGAAAAGCGTGGGTTACTAAAAAAAACATAATAAGAATATTGAATGTATAATGTAGCAACACACATTTTTCTATCCAGTTATTTAAATAGAAATGTATCTTTATCAGTATCAGGCCCTGTACTGGCTTCTGTAAAAAAAAACTATCTGTAAAGGATCATGACATGTGTGTTTAGTAATCAACATGTAACCGGCATTGCCCACCCTAACTACGACCAACCAAAACCAAAACACACACAAAAAAACGCTAACATAACACAAACGCAAACACAAATACAAACACAAACGCAACACAAACCCAACCGCAAACACTAAGACAAAGAAAACACAAACAAAAACGCGAACAAAAAAGCAAACGAATACAAACCAAACGTAAACACAAACCCAACCACAAACGGAAACCCAACCCAAACACAAAGAAAACACAAATGCAAACATATACGCAAAGTGCTCAGTCTAGCCCATGGCGCCAAATCACACCATGCTGGAGAGTCGGCTGAACCGCCTATTTCAGCTTAGTAAACGACTACAGTACCCCGATTTATTGATAGTCTTTTGTAATATCTTAAGCGAACGTAAGCGTCATAGCGAACACGAGAAGGCCCGGGGCGCCAAATAGCACCATGTCGGGGCGCCGGAGAACGTGCCAATTTGATTTACTTAAAGACTATAGTAACCTTTCTTATCCATAGTCTATCGCACTGTTTAAAACGAAATTATGCACCATAGCACTCACAGGATAGCCCAGGGCGCCAAATCGGACGCACATGTTTCAACTGAGTGAACAATTACAATACCCCAAGCTTATCCACAAACGGAAAGAAGTAAACATAGAGGACATTTAGGAACTGGCTTCTTAACTGTTATTGATTTTTTTTTAATATTTGTAGTACAAAGCAACGTCTTGTGATGGAAACTTTGAAGCTATAAAACTTAAAGATAGCTCTTAAAAGATTTTTTTTCGATCTTGCCTTTACAATCGAGAACATAGTAAAACTTTACACTGCAAAATGTACTGTTAAAACGTCTGTTTAAAAAAAGGTACGCACTATGGTAAGGTAGAAAAAAAAGACGACGTTTATCATGTTTAGTGCGACAGACAAAAGCGAAATCCCCTTAGTGTGCAGAAAAAAAGACTGATCATAACCTGCGGGAATTCCCGTTCCCGAATAAAAATGTCTTTTGTTACTTTAACTGTCTTTGATTAATAATAATAAGAAGAAAACAGTACTTTTAGTGTATAAAATAAATTAAAGGCAGTATTTAAAATACCTACCACATTTCACTTGATCAGTCCACGCTAATTATGTTTTTTTCCCCAAAACAAAGTAATAAAAGGTACATTTTTCCTCACGATGTAACGGTTTTTGATAAATGGAAGTAATTGTGTTTTCCTAATTTATCAAGGGAAGTAGGGAGTACTAAAGAACTAAATGTAAATAATTAGAATTTTTGTGACAGGTAATATATTTTTAAAAAATTTGTTTGATAGACAATCCAACAATTATTACCATAAGTTTGAAAAATGAAAACTTTTTTACAACACCTTCAATGTTAATTTTTTAAATCAAGAATTTAGACGATGAGCACTTTAGACTTTGGAATCCTCGGTTTGCCCGCCTCATACATAATTGAACGTTACATATTAGATTAATATATATTATAATAATGTATAAATAGTATTTTCTTCTCAAATTGTGCACATATTAGAATAATTTGTTTTTATAATCCATAGTTTAAAATGTATATATGCAATACCTTCAAAAAATCCTTAAATATCAGCTTATAGTTGCAATGTGGCTGTGGGTAGTAGGGTATAGTGGCAATGTGGCTGTGGGTAGTAGGGTATAGTTGCAATGTGGCTGTGGGTAGTAGGGTATAGTGGCAATGTGGCTGTGGGTAGTAGGGTATAGTTGCAATGTGGCTGTGGGTAGTAGGGTATAGTTGCAATGTGGCTGTGGGTAGTAGGGTATAGTGGCAATGTGGCTGTGGGTAGTAGGGTATAGTGGCAATGTGGATGTGTGTAGAAACCCTTTAGTTACAATGTTGATGTGGGTAGTTGCTCGACATATTCTAACTTCACATTTCCAAACCATAAATTCATCAGAAACTAATGTCCTATAACCTTTCTGCGAGGTAACGAAAGAGGCCATAGCTGAGTAATCACCACTAATGCTGCTTTGCTTGCATGCAAACTACGACAAACTTAGCTCCGCAATGACCGCTTTAGTTTAAATAAGCATTTGTCACATGATCACTAAGGTGTAACCGACTCATAACTATTGACTTTAGAAGCTAGCTGTATTGTCCATAGGGGGCGGATGTCTTTCCCTTGAGGCATGTCTCTGCTAACAAAGCGGGCGGCCACCTTGATACGAAGGTGTGTCTTTATTGTTATTTCTTTCCTTTTGATCTAGTTTCGTCCATCTGACATGGTAGGATTGTCTCATGTTTGGCAAGCTCATCTACGTTGTCTATTGAAAAATTTCTTCACACACTATATAAGTAATCTTTATTTTAAAATGTTTAGTGCAATATGCCAAATTGATGCGGCAAAGATTTCTTAAAATTATTATATAGATCTATAGACAATAGTAAATATAGTACACATATGACAGTCAATTTAAAAAAAATGTTCAGATCAACTAAAATCATCCAACACACTATTAAAATTTTACTGTGAGATATTTTGTCTGAGATATTTTGTCTGAGATCATTTGTCCATTATATCATTTGTCCTAATATATTTTGTCCTGGTATCTTTTGTCCGTGAGATCATTTGTCCATGGGATCATTTGTCCTGAGATCATTTTCCGTGAGATATTTTGTCTGCGATATTTTGTCTGAGATCATTTGTCCTGAGATCATTTGTCCTGTCACCACTAAAACCATATTCATATGATTTTATTTTAGGCTTTTATTTAAGTTATCTCCGTTATATGACAATTTTTTAAGAATTTTTTTTTATGATTTAAGATGCTTGTGGAGGTTTTATTGATGCTGAAAATGGAAACATTTCATCTCCCTCGTTTCCTGATTTATACCCACCCAACAAGAACTGTGTTTGGGAAATTGCTGCCCCTAGCGACTTCAAAATAAACTTAAACTTTACTCACTTTAATCTAGAAGGACATAACGTAAGTATTTTGTAGGCCAATTTTTAAACTGTTATTTTTTTACAAGCTTTTATTTAACTTGTTTCCTTTGTCTGTCGACAGTCTATTGTCAGTCTGTCTTGATCAAAACGCCCGAGCAAAAATTCGGGCACTTCTAACTGACAGATACAGTTCAAAGTAGGCACAGGTGTCACGACATGAAGACAATGCAATCGGACATTAAATTTTACTTAATTAATTGGATGCCTAATTAACTTTTTAAGAATTAATTAAAATTGTGTCCAAATTACTAGGCTGTCTCATCCAACTATTCCGCACTATTTTACTTACGTTATACATCACGTTCATTAGGTGCGCAATGGTTTTTAGTCATGCAACTCTATTGTAAATAAAAAAATTTAAAGTACTGACAAAAAATAAACCGGGAGTGATCTCCCCTAAACTTTCTCGAATATTCTTGAGTACCGTTACAGCTAGGTTGAGGAAATTTCATATATTAGTATTTTATCAAAAACGTAGATCCTGTTCAACTTTTGAGCGATTTCCGATAACCGGAAGTGGTACTTTTTCTACTTTGAATTTTTTTAAAGCCTATAACTTGAGTACTATTTCAGATAGATAAATGAAATTTCAAATGTAAGTAAAAAATATAATTCTCTACCTACTATCAAATTTTGAGTACTTTTCGTTGATCGGAAGTAGTAATTTACGCTATTTCCAATTACACAAAAAAACGCATGTAAATTTATAAAGTACTAATAATATTGCGCACTATTGTGCACATTTTATTTTGGCGTTTGCTTGGTGCGCAATTCTTTTTTTCTATGAGATTCTATTCTATTTTTAAAAGTTTAAGTAATTAAAAATCATGTCTATATTCCAAGTTATATAAGAATATTCGAGAAAGTTTAGGGGAGATCACTCCCGGTTTATTTTACAAGCTTTTATTTAACTGACTTCTTCTGTCTGTCGTCAGTTATCAGTCTGTCGTCAGTCTAGATCAAACGCCCGAGCAACATTTTTGGGCACTTCTAGCTGAGAGATTTGTTTCAACGTTGGCACGTGGGTCAAGACATGAAGACAATGCAATCTGACATTAAATTTGACTTAATTAGGGGCCTAATTAACTTTTTATGAATTAATTAAAATTGTGTCCAAATTAGTAGGCTGCCTTACCAAACTTTTCCAAACTATTCCGCACTATTATATGCGTGTTTTCACGCTCATAAGGTGCACACTCTTTTTTTTTAGTCTGTATTGTAAATTTAAAAAATTTATAGTACTGAAAAAAGTTCATAAATAAAACGTTTTAATAACCAGATTTTATGTAATAATGCACTAAAAAGTAGAAAATAAATTATACACTACTACTTAAATAACCATAAAGATTCCTCTACAAAGATTCTTCTTAAAGGTAGATTCTATATAAAAATAAAAGTCGATTGCTGTTTGACACATCCGATCGCCATGAATCTTTGGAGAGTTAATGTGAATATTCCAGGGGATGTTTCCACAAAAATATTTCTTTTTATTTCCTAAGGGCGTCTGGGAGGATGAGATTTTTCTCTGTTATATACATTATGTAAAAGAAAAACTTTGGGGAGTTCATGAGAATACTCCGAAGAAGATTTCTGCAAAAAAAATTATTAATTTCTAATGGGTCGGCGCCTGGGAGGTTGCTATTTTTGTCAATACACAGTTTGGCGCCCAGAGTTCCAGAGCGGCTATCTTAACACTAAGTCTTGTATCCATTAAAATGCTATACACTAAAGACGCGAGGGACAACAACAATCGTTGACTAAATCGAATCTGGTACTTCCTCCAGCACACCTGCAGGCTGCGAATTGGATTCCTCGTCTTTCCTGTAAATGCAAAGGTGCCTCTGATTGTTCTAAATAGTGCATAAAACAATGGATAAGATTGCGCGATAAAGTAGCTCACTATCAGAAGCATTCACCGGCTCACCGGCAGGGTGCGATTTGGCGCCCTGGGCTATCCCGTGATAGAATATGCATAAGATGGAGTTTTAGATTCTTTCATTCAACACAATCATCCTATGAGCACTATGGCGCCTACATTAGTTTTAAGGAGCACCCTGTAATATTAACAAGGCGGTAAACGACATTTGATGACTAAACCGAGCCAGGAGCCGTACGCCGCGCCCCTACAGTAGTGAAATCGAGGGCTCACGAGAGCGTCCATGAAACCTAGGCGGTGAGTGATTAACGGTGATATTACGATGAGAGATTAGCGTTCACTCAAGGCTTTCATAGTATAGGTAAATCCATGCCCCGATAAATATGATCTTAAAATCAGTTTTAGAAAACATTGTCACGCTTCTAAGAATATAGAATTGGTAACGCATTGATAAAACCTTCCAAATATATTTTGTCAGACTTTATTCTAACCCTTCGGCAACGCACAGGGACGGGCTTGCTAGTTTAAAATAACCTCTAGGTTATAGCGTTTAACAGCGATGGAAACTTCTAAATTATTGTCTTTGCCAATTAAAGTTATTTTCATAATTTATGTGCGCCCACTTCAGCTATTCTAAATTGAAAACAACAACGTGATTTTTGTGTCCTCAGCAAGACTGCGAATACGACTCAATTCGAATCAGTAGCAGAGGTGCTGGCAACGATCTCAAGCTGCTGGGTATATTCTGCGGCTACATGCTTCCAGCGGCAGTTACATCAGAGAGAAACAATCTAAGAATTGAGTTCAACTCGGATAACTCTGTACAGAAGACTGGTTTTTTTGCCTCTTTCACCACTGGTAGAAGTTATATACGTTTTTTACACTCACCCCTATAGACCATTGTGTCTTTTCCATTAACGTATTTATTCCACCATTATTTAGGTAAGAAGAAATCAAAACATAATGCTACTGCTACAATTAGACGTTTTATATACGTCTGCACACGAAAACCTTCAATTAAATATCTCAATGTTGGCGTGTCACATTTTGACAAAAATAAAATTAGGTGTCTGCGTTGATTTTGTGACACCATTGCAGGAATGAAGGATTTCGAAGTTTTTACCGATGTTGGGTTGTGTGGATACATGTATGTGTCTGAATCTCTCTCTCTCTCTCTCTCTCTCTCTATATATATATATATATATATATATATATATATATATATATATATATATATATATATATATATATATATATTATATATATTATATATATTATATATATATATATATATATATATATATATGCATTGTTTAATATATTACTATGTATGATTGTGCGTGAACGAGCTGTAGAGTGCTAGACCGCTAACCCGATCGTCTCGAGTACCCGGCTTGAGTCTCTACGACATCCCTGAGTCTGCTTAGATCTAATGGGTACCTGACTCGCGTTAGGGAAATAATGGCGAATGAGCATACTGAGGACCACACTATCGCCATGTATGCCAAGGTCAATAAAATAGAATGAACTCTACTCCATCCGCTCCCATGTGTAATGTGCTCAAATGAGAAAAGAAGTTCATTCATACGTTTGTGCGTGTATTCTTGCGTGTATGTCTGACGATATATCAATATAATACCAAAAATGGTTTTAAACAGCTTGAGAAATCTTTTGAAAAATTAATTCTCAGATAAGGATGAATGCACAAAAGATAATGGAGGCTGTCAACACATATGTAAGAACACAGTTGGTAGCTACCAGTGTGCCTGTCAAAATGGATTTACTCTGCACGATGACCTACATGGTTGCAAAGAAGGTTTGTTACAAAAATTCCTGTATTTGTTTGAGTTACATCTATTAAACAACACCGAAAATGAAGTAAAGCATTAAGAATGCGAAATGGAATCGCTATCAACATTGTGCGCTTTACTTTAAAAGCAAGACTAAAAATTATTTTGATAATTAATAAGGACTGAAAAAAAAAACCTTCCTGTAAAACAGTATGTTATAGGCTTCAAAAGCTGGTTCCAAATGGTTCCATATGTTTGTTGCATGAAAGCATATTTTTCAACAAAAATTGAATATTTTATAACATTTGTATAATAAGGACAAAATGACTTCCTGTTTCATTAAGGCTAGAATTAGTCAAACAAATAATTACTTGTAATATAACAGTAATTTAGCAAAAACTTTTATTTTTAATTTGGATTAGTAGAGTCAGGGTGTTGTGGTGATAGGGTATGTTATTTTATTTTATACTAGCCGTCGGTACCCGTTACACGTGAATTATAGACCTATACATTGACGTGGTGTGTCTCGAACCCGTACCGCCTGCTTGGTTACTATTACACTATCATCTCAACTATCTAGACACTTCCGCTTAGGTGCTGAATAAGTGGGGTACTTTACTTGTAAGAAACTTGAGACGCGAATAGGCTTTATTATTTCAAATGAAATTTTATCCAAAATTAGCCAATTCCATAGCTAAACAAACTAAGATTTATATAAAATATTTACGGCCTGAAATAGTTTAGTATAGAAACTCATTATCGGCATAGATTCTAGATCTAGTTAGAGCTAGAGTCTAGATCTAGAATCTACGGCTGGTTTAAGTCTAGTTTTTCCGTAGCTCTAGATCTAGGATCCAAAATAGATCAAGTAAATTTTATAAGTTTAGGCCGAAAAAAAATTGTATGAATTTCATAGCGTACGTCTTGATAAGTAGATCTAGATCTATACAAAATTTGAATAAAATAGTTCATTTCTTTATTTTCTAAAATTGGAAATGGCGCCATTAGTTTTGTGTTCTTTCCGCAGTTTAACATTGTGACATTTTTTTGCGTTCATGTCACGACAATAAACTCTTTAGTTAGAAATGTGTTTCTATATTTGAATATACCTTTATTTTTATTTTCATTCTTTAAAGAAAATTTAGTTCATACATTTGTAACGTCCACCATATTACTTTTAGCGAAAGTCCGAATCTTTAAGTTCTCCATATATTGCTCAACACACTGATGACGTTGCCAAAAAATATTGCGGACAGAAAGAGGGAGAGAGAGAGAGAGAGAGAAGTGCGCACATTATCTTTAATATATTAGGATAAATACAATACTACGCTATGCACCATAGACCACTTGTGTATTTTATCATGGAAAACGATTGTTCAGATTTTCATTGGTTTACTCCCCCTTGCTATTCCGTAGAGGTTGAGGGCGATTTTATAAAATATTTGAATTGATAAAATAATTCAAAACGCATTTTCAGCGACTTATATTCAATGCAAAAATATGAAAATGAGTGTTATCGATGGTTCCCAAACTGCTTTAAGTTTTTTTAAATGTAACTATAATTTTATCACTTGCCAAATTTTTAAAAAGATTTTTAAAAATTTAGTATGATTATATAGACTTTTCATACCTATTTACCTTAGTTACTTCCACTCCTAAACATTCCGCAGGCACAAAGTGATACCATAAGGAACGATATTTTTATTTGTTTTTGCAGTGTACTTTTGGTATGGTGGAGAGGTTAGTGCAAAAGCAAATTGAGAAGAAATATAGAAGTTTATATTGTTTTCACAAGTGCTAATCTACCTATATTCTACTATATGTTGGCGTTTACGTTTACGGTTATGGTTTTGGTTATGGTTGATTGTAGTTAAGTTTAGAGTTAGATTTAGAGTTATAAATATTTTATCAAATGTACATATTTGCATATTTAATTGACATTTGATTGGGAAAATGAAATAGTTCCTAAACCCGGGCAACGCCGAGTATACTACTTAATAAAGACATAAGCAAGGTCCCTTACAGATAGGTTTTTTCGCAAAGGCCAGTCCAGGGCCTGGCCGGGACGGCTAGTATTTCATATAAATCTTTGTTTCGCACCAATTTAATAGGTTAAATTAGGATAAAATGTAATTAAAAATTTAAAAATTTTTAAAATATGCATAATTTCACTTTATAGCGAAGAATGCCTCCAATACACATTTTAACAGACAGTATGTAACATTATACGCACTATTTTGAACATGTGTACCTAGCTGGCCGACGCGTTAGTGATCTGCCAAGCGGTATGTGTTCAAAACACCAGTTTAATTATTTTTTTTCACATAGTGCAAAATGGGACACGAATGATACAATACTATTGTTTTAATGTTACCTGTGTTCATTTATTCATTTTTTATTCTCATGAGCTTCCAGCTCAAACAATATTTTAGAAAGAAATCATGTAAGCTGAGGTGTGACTTCTTTTTAGATGTGTAAAATGGTGGGCACTGCGCAGCTGAAGTAAGGCTCGCCTGTATCTTTGACCTCTGCATATGAAGTGATATTGTGGTCAGCACCAAGCTCAGCCGGTGTTTTTAAAAAACAAAAACATGTTGGCTGAGGTGTGACGTCTTTATAGATGTTGGTTCTGGCTTTTTGTGACGATGTTTGACAGAGGGTAGAAGGGGGAACAATAAAAATCGTCGAACAAGCATGACGTCAATTATGAATAACCACTAAACACATAATTATCCAAAGGATAATGGTAGGTCTAGTATAGATTGAGGATGTAGTATAGATTGAGAATGTAGTACAAAAAATAGTTTGAATGTTTTTGCAATTTACATTAATGAATAGCCAATAAAGACCAAATTTCATTATCATAACGGTATACAAACGTCCAGCTCTGATGGGTACCTGACTAATGGAAAATATAGGTGACTAGACATAGTGCCGAGAAACCCTATCCATTCACATGCCGAGGTCTTAGAAACAGGTGAAGATTGGCCAGTCAACTTCAAAATGTTATGGTATTTGTTAAAGTCATAGCAAGCTGTTCATTTCATCAGGTGGGTGTCAGTTTGAGATAAGAGTTCACTACGGAGTTATCACCAGTCCAAACTATCCTGAGTATTATCCCAGCAGAAAAGATTGTGTCTGGCATTTTACTACAGCCCCTGGACATAGGATAAGACTCCGTTTTAAAGTGTTTGAACTAGAGCCACACCAGGTAAGTAAACGGGTAACAGTGAATAAATGTAGGATAAGTTTATAAAACATTGCTCTCAAACGTGCCTTTTTAAACAGTAATTACTCAATCACTCTATTGTAGATATAGTTGGCTGAAACAGTACTCAAGTTATAGTGTTCACGTGGAAATAAAGTTACACTTCCGATTACCGGAAATCGTTAAAATTCGATATAAATCTTCGCATTCAATGTGAAATTTCGTCCACCTAACTTTAACGGTGCCATAGTTATTACTTTTGAATAAGAGAAAGTACCATTTCCTGTTAATGGAAGTCACTCAAAAGTAGAAAGAAAACTACAAATTTGATTTTATATATATATATATATATATATATATATATATATATATATATATATATATATATATATATATATATGAAAATTCGTCTACATAACTTAAACCATATAAACGTTATCGTAAAACAGACACTCAGACACACAGAAAAAACTGCCAAATGTTTTCCAGATCCGGAAGGATGCAAATCGTCAAATGTCAAAATCTGTATTTAGATTTTTTGATCGACGTATAGAGTATTCCCCTTAAATTACGATAACGTAGGGAGGTGTAAAACGGCAAAAACTATCAAGAATGACTGTGAATTACTCAGCATAATTACACATCTTTCTCTATAGGACTATAGTCGTATGAGAAAGTCAAAATAATAGTTTTTCAAAAATTAACCAAAAAAACATTTTTTAGCCCGATTGCACTGGATTTGTCATAACCGTAATGTTCTTGCCCTGTAGACGAATATATCAGTTTAGGGGAGAGCACTCCCGCCTTTTTATTATAAGAAATGTACTTTGTACCATGTTGAGGTTGTTACAAAGATGTTTCCTGTTTTTACCATGAGGAAATTAGGCCCTACTTGTAACCACGTGATGATAGTAACAAAATATGTCTTGTTTTTATCCTTAGGAATGTACCTATGACCATGTGGTAGTATTTGACGGAGATGACAGCACAGCTGAGACCATAGGCAAATACTGTGGTGCTCTAGTACCTGAACCCGTCACTTCCACTAGGAATAGAATGTTCATGATATTTTTCTCTGATGCTTCAGTACAAAGAAAAGGGTTCGAGGCGGAACATGACACGGGTGAGAGCATTTTAGATACTAAATACATTTGAAGGGATAGTGTGGTCAGTTCTAAGCAGTGTTTCTTCCAGGCATATGTAAAAATGGATATAAACTCTTTTTTTTCTTATAGCGACGGTGTGAATTCACAAAAACAAATTTAAAATGTTGATGATTTACATCATAAAAATCACATTGTATTCAATTTAACATTAAATAAAATGACGTCTTTAGTTGTCTGTATTTTCATTGATTTATTGTAAATTTTATACATTACAGTGAGCTAGTTAAATAAACCGGGAGTGATCTCCCCTAAACTTTCTCGAATATTCTTATATAACACTACGTGGGATGGTAACTCGGAATATAGACATGAATTTTAATTACTTAAACTTTTAAAAATAGAATGGAATCTCGTAGAAAAAAAGAATTGCGCACCAAGCGAACGCCAAAACAAAATGTGCATAATATATACTTTATCAATTTACATGCGTTTTTTGAGAAATCGGAAATAGCGTAAATTACTACTTCCAGTAAACGGAAATTACTCAAAATTTTATAGAAGGTAGAGGATTAAATTTTTTAATTACATCTGAAATTGCATTTATCTATCTGAAATAGTACTCAAGTTATAGGCTTTAAAAATTTAAAGTAGAAAAAGTACCACTTCCGGTTATCAGAAATCGCTCAAAAGTTGATACTGATCTATGATTTTGATAAAATACTTATATATGAAATTTCATCAACCTAGCTGTAACGGTACTTAAGTTATCGTGTTTACAGACACACACACAGACACACACACAGACACACACACACACATACACACAGACAATCAGACATACGGACAAGATTGCAAAAATATGTTTTTCTGACTCTGGGAGGTGTAAAACGTCGAGATTTGTAAAAAAAATCTCGATTTTTTTTTTTTGCACGATTACAAGACTTTCTCTATACTTCGTATATACGAGAAAAGTAAAAAGAGAGATACAAAAATAACTGAATGTTTTGGCAAATACAGTAGGAAAAGACATCTATATTTTAGTACACACTATTTTGTATTGTGCAAGTTTCCATCAGCAATCCAAAATACAACCTTAGATAAACTTAATTATGTAATAATAATTAATATTAATAAATATAATTTAGACTACATTGTCATACTAGCTTAACTAACTTGTTTGGCAATAGTAGCCTTCCAAGTTCTAGGTATTAATTGTTAATTTAACCAATTTGCATACTTTTAATGAAAAATGAAACCAAATTGACACCCCGGAACTATTATACACATATTGTTTGCCGTTCACTTGGTGCACAATTCTTTTTTCTACGAGATTCAATTTTATTTTTTAAAAGTTTAAGTATGTAAAAACGTATTCAAATCATGTCAGTATCCTGAGTTCCCATAACCCTAGTGCAGGGGTCGGCAACCTTTTGGTACGGAAGAGCCAAAAGTTATGATTTACCAAATATCCCAGTTTTTAAAGAGCCACTAATACTTTTATTTCAATATTTTGAAACTTGATTAGGATTATATATATATATATATATATATATATATATATATATATATATATATATATATATATATATATATATATATATATATATATATATTTATATATATATATATAATTCTCTTCTGGGAGCCGTTAGAAAACAAGCTGCAAACGCTCTCCCTACCTCCCCACCCCTACATGGTTTTAGTGAGCTGTGTTCACTCTAAATGTTTACAAGCAGAGCCAACGATTTTAAACGTAGGGGGGGGGGGAGGAGGGGGGAGGGGGGGGGTTATGGTCCTTAACGAGCTACTTATAGTGTTTTAAAGAAATATTTTCAGTGTCAGCGTTGGTACTGTCGAATTCACAAATTATGAATTATTGAAAATTAGAAACAACTAAATAGCGGCGTATGTTATGCCGCGGGCCGGCTCGTATATATATAATTCTCTTCTGGGAGACGTTAGAAAACAAGCTGCAAGCGCCTCCTTACAATCCCCTCTCTTTCTCTCTATCACTATCACTACCACCCCTACCCCACCCCCACATGGTCTGGTGAGTTGTGGTCACGCTAAATGTTTACAAATCGTAGAGGCGGGTTTAGTGACGGCTATTAGGGGGGGGGTAGTGTTTTAAAGCAAATATTTTCAGTGGCAGCATTGGTACTGTCGAATTCACAAATTATGAATTACTGAAAAGTAGAAAATAAAAAAAATAGCGGCGTATGATACGCCGCGGGTCGGCTCGTATATTTATATTGCTTTAAAAATATTAAATAATATTTATTCAAATAAAAACATACACATGTTTCGTAGAAATAAGTACTAAAGTATTTTATCTAGAATAATAAAATCAGTAATCAAAGTAGACCTATATAACTTTCATTATTAAATACTATTTACAACAGTTTCGCCTTGCATACCTTTTGAAAGTTTGTTTAAACCTGGCTCATAACTTGTTTTCAGCTTCAAGCACGATTCTAGATTTGTATTTGTTAGTTGGCTTCTATACTTTGTATTATATTCATGCAAGAAAACGCTTGCTCGCATGAAAATGTTGACCCGAAGATCGTCAGGACTCCAAATGCCAACTTCTTCGACTTACTCTAGCATCATGCGAGACTATTCCTTGCGTCACATAGTAGGGCCTCAACTCGCGGCATTTCTTTTAGAGCTGTCCAGTTGTACAGTGAAACGTACATGTTTTACTGGACCTCCAAATCATCTAACTTGCTCTTGAGGTCTGTGAACTCACCGCTCCACAAATGTTTGGTTTTCAAATCTAGCAATTTAATTTGAAGCGAACCAGCCTCAACTCCAAATAGTTTAAAGTTAATGTAATTTGTTTTTGTTTTGAGATAATCTACTATGAACGTCAGAGTACTTGCATTTCTTTTGAATTGCTCAAATCTCTCAGTGAACACATCCTTCATCTTGTTTATAGCAATGCTAAAGTGATTTATGTTAACAGTTTTATCATGATATATATTTTTTAGATTTTTCGAAATAAAGTAATTTACCGCTCTCCGTGTCTTCAACAAAATGAAAGGTTTTTTTTTTTTGGAAACAATCATTTTCTTCAAGCAAGGCATAGGCTGGGTTTTCATTTCCATGCAGTTTTACTTTTAGCTCGTTTAGTTTCTTTGTGATCTTCACCATGAAGTTGAATGTTTCAATTTGGGATAGACAAGTTGATAGGGCTGGTAAGTAATTCACCAACCAGTTCTACGGCTCAATAAATTCTGCATGAGCAATAGAACTGGTTGGTGACCTACTTACCCTATAGGAGGTACATTGAAATATGGCGTAACTAAATATTCTAATAGAATAGCGAGCGTTTATTATTTATGTTTATTATTTTATCGTTCATTACCGAGTGTCGCAGAACAATATTTTTATGAGTTTTGAAAACAAAGTAAAATAATTAATAATATGTGTGCATGGAGCTGGAGAGCCGCATCTCGACATCAAAAGAGCCGCATGCGGCTCGCGAGCCGCAGGTTGCCGACCCCTGCCCTAGTGTTTTATATTCGAGAAAGTTTAGGGGAGATTACTCCCGCTTAATTTATAAAATGACTTATTTTTACGTGTTGTATTAATTAATTGATTTTTTACTTTATGAAAGCACATTACTTGCACAAGCATTCATAAAAGCTTTATGAATGCACAATTAAATTTTTAAATATAGTTTGTATCACATATTTTAAAATTTTAAGTTGCAACATCTCCTAATATTCCTTTTCAAGTTTGCGGTGGCTTGCTGCTAGCTACAGCATCAGCATTAGAGATAGTATCACATGCTCGTTTTGGAGATCATAACTACGATAACAGGGAAGATTGCCAATGGAAAATTCAAGCTGAAGCCGGCCATCAAGTACAGCTTAAGTTTACAAGCTTTGATTTGGAAGACGAAACTGATTGTGGGTAAGCAATGTAAAATGCACCCGATTATGTCTAAAGAATCTCTTATTGCATAATTACGATGCATCTTTTTGTTGTCTTTTAACTATAAAACGAACGGTATTTAAATGTTTAGGTTTTGCTTTTAATCAGATTATATATATATATATATATATATATATGTTACGGTCAAAGCCCGAAGTGCGGCCAAAGCGCGCATTGGCCGGCTCTCTTGGCCAAAGCCCGAAGAACTTAGCACTGAGATCGTATTTCGTACATTGGCCGGCCAATGCGCGCACTGGCCAGGACGTACTGGCCAAAGTCCGAAGCGCTTAAACTTGACAGCGTATTTTGTACATTGGCCGGTCAATGCGCGCACTGGCCGGGATGTTCTGGCCAATGTTCTATCTAGACTAAGTTGTGATCGCATTTTCATTATTCTGGGTGCGTTTTCATTGAGAGTAACGTATTGTTTAGCTATTGTTTGTATAGCATTCTATATGCAAGGCGACATGGATCAAAAGGGCCGTCAGACCATGAGACAGACATAGCAGATGGCTGTCAAAAGAAAAAAAAATGTAAATCCATGTTAGTTTCCATATATGGGTTTTCGATAAAAATAGTTATTGAGGAAGATCTTGAGGTTGCCATAAATGCAACGACATCCTCAGCTAACACATCTACTGCCGTGGCGGAACGTCCAGACCAGTTGCGTGACAATAATGTGGCCAACAGATTCTATATAGTTTGTGAAAAACATTGTAGTGCAGCTCATTCTTTTGGATCCTGTGGCAACGATGTCCATGCTATTTGTGAAATACCCAATGAAGCAGACGAAGGGTACGGAAGGAACAATACCTGCAGATTGTGTCACAACAAACAAGACATCATGGAACACAGATCAGCAGCTCATACTGGCTTGCAAACTTAAGGTGCTAAGATGCTTAAAACATCAAATACAAAATTTAAAGATGGTGAAGTGGGTGACAATGTACGCATCCGTTTTCCAGATGTTGACAGAGGTCACGGTGATCCCCGAAGCGTGATTGCAGTTGTCATGAGTGTCGAGGGCGGTTTCTACAAATTAGGAACGGAACATGGTGTTCTAAAACAACTGTATGCTAGAAGTGAGTTTTCAATTCTTCACGAAAAACTGCTCTTATTGTCGTCAGTTGGCACTGAGGAAAAATCACTACGAACCATCGCATCTTCACAATCATTGACTGGGAGCCAAGGCTACACTCGCTGCAATTGCACAACTAAGTGCACAACAAATCGCTGCAAGTGTAAAAATAACAAGCTGCTATGTAATTCTAAATGCCATAAAAGTTCAACTTGTTGTAACAAATGATAATATTGATAGATTGAGACTATAGTATAGTACAATAAATAAACCGGGAGTGATCTCCCCTAAACTTTCTCGAATATTCTTATATAAAATAACAGGGGATGGGAACTTAAAGTTTTAAAAATAGAATAAAATCTCGTAGACAAATTAATTGCACACCAAGTGAACGCCAAATAAAAAAGCGCATAATAGTGCGCAATATTATTAGTACTTTTAAAATTTACATTAGTTTTTTGAGAAATCGGAAGTAGCGTAAATTACTACTTCCGGTCAACGGAAATTACTCAAAATTTAACAGAAGGTAGAAAATTAGATCTTTTACTTACATGTGAAATTTCATTTATCTATCTGAAATAGTTATAGGCTTTTGAAAAATTCAAAGTAGGAAAAGTACCACTTCCGGTTATCGGAAATCGCTCAAAAGTTGATACGGATCAACGATTTTGATAAAATACTTATATATGAAATTTCATCAACCTAGCTGTAACGGTACTCAAGTTATCGTGTTTACACACGTACAGACAGACAGACAGACACACACACAGACACACAGACATTCGGACAAGATTGCAAAATTATGTTTTTCCGTATAAGTGAGGTGTAAAACGTCGAGATTTGTAAAAATCTCGATTTTTTTTTTTGCACGATTACAAGACTTTCTCTATACTTCGTATATACGAGAAAGTAAAAATGTGAATGTTTCTGTCATTTACTTTAATTAATAATCAATAAAGACTTAATTTCATGATCCTTAAGGCATAAAAAAAAAATAATCTGCTCATGATCTTCTAATTCGGACTTTGGCCGGTCGTCCCTAGCCAGATGATCTTCTAATTAAGACTTTGGCCGGTCCACCATGGCCAGTCCGCGGACTGGCCGGCCAAAGGCCGAAATCAAGCAAAGTTTCGGACTTTGACCGACCTATGGGAGGCGATATTGGCCAATGCGCGGATTGGCCGGCCAATCCTAGCATTGGCCGACTTCGGGCTTTGACCGTAACATATACATGTATATATCTATATATATATATATATATATATATATATATAAATGGATGGATGGATGGATGGATGGATGGATGGATGGATGGATGGATGGATGGATGGATGGATGGATGGATGGATGGATGGATGGATGGATGGATGGATGGATGGATGGATGGATGGATGGATGGATGGATGGATGGATGGATGGATGGATGGATGGATGGATGGATGGATGGATGGATGGATGGATTGGATGGGTGGGTGGGTGGGTGGGTGGGTGGGTGGGTGGGTGGGTGGGTGGGTGGGTGGGTGGGTGGGTGGGTGGGTCGGTGGGCGAATGGACAGACAAATAGACAGATAGACAGATAGTCAGACAGATTTATATTGAATACAATAAAGAAAATACTATGATAACTAAAAAGCACCGAATACATATCTTCAATGGCTTTACCCTAACTGTCTTGTATAGTGACGAGGTGCTCGATCTATACTATATGACAGAGTCCTGCACTGCCTCACTGGCACCCTCTACAGCGTGTGTATGCACCTTTACGAATACAGTGGTTCCAACTTCAGATCGGGTTACTAAATTACTTGTATTTGACTCTCTTCGGTCATTTTAGGACAATAACCATACCCTGCAGACTTAGATCGGTCTCTAATGTCGTTCTACTGAATTGCGAATGAATGATATATATCTGGCGCCTGGATATCGGCATAGGCTCTGCGCTCATGAATAGAATAAAGGGAAAATATTCCGAATGATACCCTAAAAACAGAGTCTCAAAAATACGGATCGTCCTCTTCGAAAGCTTGCGTCTCCAAAAATAAACCTAAAAACGAAATGATCGACAACAACCCCTTGCTAGGTCATAGCATTTTAGACAGAATCGCCACATTGAAAGGAAATAAAATATCCTTGTCTCTATAAAAAAATGTGTTTTGCGGCTAGAAACCACTTTCACAGGGTTAAATGCAAGTGACACAGTTTAAGGTATTCAGGGCAAGGTGGTCAGGAGAAACCCCATTTATGTTATTGAATATGATAGATCTGTTATGTTAGGTTAATGGTATGCACAAGTAGTATATATATATATATATATATATATATATATATATATATATATATATATATATATTATGAAGAAAAATTGAACCCCTCCCTTGACCATTTCCTAGCTATACCACTGTGTGTGTAGTGCATGTGTGTGTATATGTGTATCAATTACCTTATCTCTACGCACACGTTTATGCAAACATATCTTATGTACAAATATAAATGTTACAATACATATGTGTGTGTTTGTGAATACATGCGTCTTATAAAATTCTAGTTATGTGCTCAGCTCTTCAGTAACAATATCTATAAAAAGCACTATTTCATTCAATCATTTATTTTAATCACCCAGATACGATGTTGTGACTGTTTATGATGGCCAACTTGAAACTGATAACTTATTAGGGACATTTTGTGGAAGTGCTGTAAGTATAGAATATTTGATGTAGGTTTATGATCTAAAAAATGTTAGCGGAAAGCACATACCATAGTAATATGAACGTTCCCCATGCAACCACCGGCCTCACGAATGTCCACATTCCTACAGCACACCTTGATCCATCACATCATAACACCCCCTTCCCACTCCTTATTCACATAATATAAAAAAGGACACAGCATAAACAATCAACAAAAATATAAACATGACACAAACAATATAGAAACACAACTAAAATGCAATGAAACACAACCAAAACAAGATCATAACAAAAACAACAATGCAACTTACACGCCACAGAGCCACTTCCCTAACCCCCAGATAAATTAGCCCGACGTCAATTAGCACCCCTTTCTTTTAATAACCCCCATTGTTATTACTACTCCTCTCCCCTACTTCTACCCCAACCTCACCCCCCCCCCCCCCCACCCCACCCCACCCCACCGAATGATGAGCAGAAAAAGTCACAGGGAAAATGAGACAAGGGAAAGAAATTCACAGAATAAAAACACAAAGAAAACACTTTATTGGAAAAATTTACTTTTCGGATGGTGTTTTATCGTAACATATTTATAATAATAATCCGACATTTATATTTTTTTACCAGTAAAAATATAAGATTATTAAAAAAAGCATCCTCAGCTTTGATACATATTTGAATGCCTGCTAGAAAAAGTAAAAATGTAGGCACATCATTGTGCTTTGTGTTTTTTGCCTCTAAGCCTTCCTCGGTAGTTCTTTCCGTCCACGTTGACGGTACAATGAGAGCCTTGGTACCGTGTCAGTTTTTTTGTCTTGATGCTATGCTTTGTTATGTAATGTGCGTGGTTAATGAAATTAGTAAAAGCGGTTTAATTATTGCAGTGGCGTATCTACCGTAAAGCTAGCCTTAGCAAGGCATGCGAGCCCAAGGAAAATATGGGCCCTTTTCCCTCTTTAAAAAATAAAAACGTTTACATTGGAATAGTTTAATGCCCATGTGTAAGAAACGTAGAGGGGCTCTCTCATCAGTGTGAATGAAGCAATATGTTAGCGTTACTAATTGTCTATACTTAGATGCTCGATCTCAATTTCTGATTGGATTATCTAAAAATAGATGCTAATTGCATCATTCGCAAAGTGGCGAAACTGTTAGGATTTTTTTACGGACAAAAAGAAACATCCCAGTTCTTAATCCAACCTTGGTTAATTTTTCTTATTAAAAACGTATTACATGGCCCTCAGCGGCCCATGTGAGCCTTTGGGGGCCGAAACAGACATTTTTATATGCAGCCTAATCGCACCCTAACAGGGCGCCAGAGGACACGCCTGATTCAATTTAGTGAGCGCTTGTAACGCCCCATCCTATCCATTGTCTATCACACTGTTTAGACCGCTCACGGGAAAGACCAGGGCGCCAAATCGCATCCTACCGGGGGGGGGGGGGCGCCCATGCAAAATTAAATCCCCCCATTCCCCACCACCTACCCGCCCCTATTCCCCCCTCCCACCCAGATACCTTTTCGGGAGTATTCATCAACTCCCTAAAGTTTTATGGCACCGGGATAAACTGTGTCGTCTTTTATTTTTATATACCGTATATAGAGAAAAATCCCACCATTCCGTGGCGCCACCCTTGTGAAATTTTAAAAAAAATATTTGTTTACAGATACCTTCCCTGGAGTGTTCTGATCAACTCCCCAAAGTTTGATGGCGATCGGAATAACGCCGTGAAACCGCAATCGACGTTTATTTTTTATATACCGTATATAGAGAAAACCGCCCTTGAAAGTTTAAAAATGATTTTTTACGGAACCCTTCCCTGAAGTTTGATGGCTATCTGATGAACGTTGTCAGACCGCAATCGACTTAATTTTTATATACCAATTATAGAGAGAGAAAAATCGCGCCCTGTCGGGGCGCCACCCCTGCGAATTTGAAAATGTTTTTAGTGCAGAAATCTCCCCAGGAAAATTTTCAACATCTTCCCAAAGTTTCATGTCGATCGTGTGAACGGTGTCATTGCAATTCACTTTTATTATTTTTATATACCGTATACAGAGAAAAATCGCACCCTCCCGCGGCGCCGCCATTGCGAAATTAAATATGATGTTTTTACAGAACCCTTCCCCAGAGTGTCCTAATCAACTCCCCCAAAATCTCATGGCTATCGGGTGAACGCTGTCAAACAAAAATCGACTTTTATTTTTATATACCGAATATAGAGTAAAATCGCACCCTCCCGTGGCGCCGCCCTTGTGAAATTAAAAATGATTGTTTTACAGAACCCTTTCCGAGAGTGTTCTAATGAACTCACCAAAAATTGATGGCGATCGGATGAACGGTGTCACTGCAATTCACTTTTATTATTTTTATATACTGTATATAGAGAAAAAATCGCACCCTCCCGTGGCGCCGCCCTTGCGAAATTAAAAATGATTTTTTTACAGAACACTTTGCTAGAATGCTCTAATCAAGTCCCTAAAGTCTCATGGCTATAGGGTGGGCGCTGTCACACCAAAATCGACTTTTATTTTTATATACCGTATATATAGAAAAAACAAATCGCGCCCTGCTGGGGCGCAACCCCTGCGAATTTGAATTTCTTTTTCCGCAGAAACCTCCCCAGGAATATTCTCAACAACTTCCCAAAGTTTCACGGCGATGTGATAAGAGGTGTAGTAATGCATAAAAGACAAACAAACAAACAAACAAACATACATACATACATTGCTTATATATATATATATATATATATATATATATATATATATATATATATATATATATATATATATATATATATATATATATATATATGTGTGTGTGTGTGTGTGTGTGTGTGTGTGTATATATATATATATATTATATATATATATATATATATATATATATATATATATATATATATATATATATATATATATACAGATATATATATAGATATATATATAGATATATAAATATATATAGATATATAAAAATCTATAATATAAGCCGGCAAGTAGTGTGTCAGTCTTTCCTTCCTTCCTTCCGTCATCGCTATAGCTTTTGGAACCATTAAAGTAAACATCGCACCATGCTGTGCTTTTCAGTGCACCGCAGTGTCTTATTAGAAGTAATAGAGTAGGGTTTGTTTATACGCTTCTCCTATAAAACCCCCAGCTTGTCCGCAAACCGAAAGATAGAATAATAATTAGTAAACAGTATATATAATAGGCAGTATTTAAAATATCCGTGTTTTACCAACCATATATCACTTTATCAATTCTTACATTTTTTTCCAGTACTTTAAATTTTTAAAAATTACAATAGTTTCATAACTAAAACCATTGCGCACCTAATGAACGTGATGACGCGTCTATAATAGTGCGGAATAGTTGATTAAAAATAATAAGTAATAAACAGTACATTCAGTGAATAAAATAAATAAAAGATTGCCTTTTATCAATTCATGCTAATTATAATTTTCTAACAATAATTTCCTCTTACACATCCGCATAATTTGCATTCACATTTTGCTTATTTATAGTATTGCAACACTAATTCCTTCTATGACGACCGTATATTTGCATTCACATTTTTAATTAGCGTGAGTTTAATTTTTTTTTAATTACCTCCTTTGTCAAAATTAGAAAAAAAAAGTTAAATTAATTTGATTTTTCTACCGTACTGTTATTATGTTATTAAAATGTATCCACTTTTTCTGGGAATATAAACGAAAATAATATTTGACATTAATACTTCTAATATGTTTTAGCAGTGTGCGTGTATTTAATATTTTCTTTACGTTATGCAAAAAAGTAAAAACAGTGGCAATTATAAAATAGCTCTATGTCGTTATATAAACAAACCCTACTCAATTACTTTTTTAAAAATACCTCCCTTGGCAAAATTACTAAACAGTTTAATTAGATTTTTCTAACCTACAGTTATTATGTTATTAAAATGTATCTACTTTTTCTAGGAATATTAACGAAAACGATATTTGACATTGATCCTTTTAATATGTTTTAGCAATGTGCGTGTATTTAATATTCACTTTACATTATGCAAAATTGTACAAACAGTGGAAATTATAAAATAGCTTTATGTCGTTATATAAACAAACCCTACTCAATTACTTTTTTTAAAATACCTCCCTTGGCAAAATTACTAAACAGTTTAATTAGATTTTTCTAACCTACAGTTATTATGTTATTAAAATGTATCTACTTTTTCTAGGAATATTAACGAAAACGATATTTGACATTGATCCTTTTAATATGTTTTAGCAATGTGCGTGTATTTAATATTCACTTTACGTTATGCAAAATTGTACAAACAGTGGAAATTATAAAATAGCTTTATGTCGTTATATAAACAAACCCTACTCAATTACTTTTTTTAAAATACCTCCCTTGGCAAAATTACTAAACAGTTTAATTAGATTTTTCTAACCTACAGTTATTATGTTATTAAAATGTATCTACTTTTTCTAGGAATATTAACGAAAACGATATTTGACATTGATCCTTTTAATATGTTTTAGCAATGTGCGTGTATTTAATATTCTCTTTACGTTATGCAAAATTGTACAAACAGTGGAAATTATAAAATAGCTTTATGTCGTTATATAAATAAACCCTACTCTATTACGTATAACAAGACAATGCGATGCACTGCAAAGCACTTCATGGTGCGATGTTTACTTTTGTGGTTCCAAAATCTATAGCGATGACGGAAGGAAGGAAGGACTGACACACTACTTGCGCGCTTATATTATAGAATATTGCTATATATAGTGATTATTTCCCCTAGTTTGCTTGTCTTAATTAATATTCCAGGAATCATTATGTCACATTGGTTTTTTTTTACAAGGATTACAAAACAGGTTGTGTTGCGTTCATTTTTATTTTTTTTTTGTATTGTGTGTATATTTTGTTCGTTTTTTTTTTTTTTTTTGGTTTTTGTTTAGAGTGATAAATTGTTTTAGTTTGGTCAGTTTGTTCTTATTTCTTCAGAGTTCTATGGTTTTATTTTTCATAGTCTTTGCTGTTGATTGATTTAAATGGAGGAATCGTTAACCCCCCACCCACTCCATCCCGTTTTTGGACAGCATAAAAGCGTTACCCTTAGGGAATGGGTAGAATTTGGAGTGTTAGAAGAATGCTTTTCGTTTGAATATTGGAATGGGGTTGGATAGGAAAGGTTTTGTGACCTAATGTAAAGATTGCAATTTATTGGCTTTGTGTTTTTATTGTATTTTAACCTTATAAAACTGAAAAAAAAACTTATATACGTTTTACTATTGATCATTAATTCAAAGAAAGCTATTTGATAAAAATGGGGTAAGTAGTATGTTGAGTATGGGGTAGGCATAATAGAAGAGTGGAAAACATGGTCGTCTAGTTTATTTTAATGAACTCAAACTTTTTACTTAAACAAGGAGTACAAATCATCTTACACATTTTAGTTTAGATTTAGTGGGTATATACAAATCATAATTTTAATTTTGCTTTCAATTATCTTTCAGATACCAGATTCTATAATTTCAAGCACTGAATATTTATTAATTAAATTTCGATCCGATGATACAATAAATTGGAAGGGATTCTCTGCAACTTACAAACGTATTAATCCCTCACTGGATTATGTTGAAGGAAAGGATATTTATGAAAATGAGTTAGATTTAGAGTAATGCAATAAAAGTTTATATTCATGCTCAATCTTACAGCAGCATGTCTATAAATCAATTACAATATAATATTAGAATGTATTTGGGAGGTGTTTGATATGTAGTTACCTCATATATTCAAATAAATGTTTCAACTTAAATATATTTTAACTTTCAAATAACTTTTTTAATAATTAATTATTTTTAAGCAGCCAATTTCATAATCTTTTTCTCATTTGTTTTAACACTGTTGTTTTACAAAAGTATCGAAAGAGTGTGAATTTGTAATTCACAGATAAATGAAAGAAATACTATTTGTAGCAATAATATTTCTGTTTTTGCATTAGTTACAAGAGTTACGGAAAACAAATGTTATAATTATTTGAAAGCGAAAGAACGAAAAGTGAAAATTGACCGTAATTGTATGATGCTGTGTATTCTATTTTAATGTAATGCTATGGTTTATTAAATTACATTTCTATTAGCTCAGCATCAGATCTGAATCTGATTCTAAAATGAACGAAAGCAGGCAGTCATTTTAAATTAATCTACAAACCATTTAAAACATTGCATGTACCATCAAAACATAACAAAGGGTAATTGATAAAACTGAAACTGGCTTTCTATGAAAGTTAATTTTTTTTTAAAATCATAATAGGATTTGTTTTAAAGACGCTTAGTTATTTATTGTGTTACTAGCTACATGAAATGCGTCGAGACTGAGGGTGGGGCTTTTAAAAAAATTAATTCGAGTAAGACAAATTGACGTTCAGATACACTTCCAATAAGGAGAGGTATTATTCTGAATGTGTCATTACGCCAACATTTGAGAATAAAAAACAAATGTATAGGCCAGCTTATCTTTATCGTAACTGTGTCAAATCAAATGATTTGTAAGTCAAAGTGTGCAATTAAATACTTTTTTCAACAAATGATTAGTATCAGTCCTTGTCTTTTTCTGTAACTGACAAAATGAATTTCGAACTCGACGATTTTACTGAACTGCATGTTTATATTAACGTAAATATCTATTAAATATTCTCCACAAACCATATATTGTGATTTTTTAAAAAGAAGAGCCGTCACAATACATGTTATTTTGTTATATTTTCTTTTTCCTTTTTTTTTTTTTTTCTAATTTATTTCATTTGTTAATTTTTTGTTCATCTTTTAAAATTAATGATTATTTTTTTAAATTTTATTTCTATTTTTATCTACTTATTTGTTTCTATAATTCTTTTACCTTATGACTTTAGTTAGCATCAAGTGATGACTTCCGCACAGAGGCGTATCAAGGGGAAGGCGGGTGGGGTAGCCGCACCTGGCGCCGACCCTGATGGGGTAGACCAAAATGGGTAGACCCATTTTAAAAAAAGCTTAGTTTAACCTCAAGTACTGGATTATACACAGTCACAGTCGAAGTTAAGAAAGTAAACGGCTACAAGGCTTTACACGCGGTTTCTACATCACTTATGTGGCACCCGAAAAATAAAACTGTTACGGGATAGTGACAGGTAGAAAGCGCCACCAACCTTTCCAACTGGGGGCGGGGCGCTTTTTCACCAGCATAAATAACTATAGCCAATATATAAATGTGAGAGGGGGTGGCGTAAAACTGGTAGTTCGGCCCGGGCACCGAAATGGGTTACTACGCATCTGCTTCCACGCGGTATAGGATCCGAAATAGCCAAATTGTGACTCAAAAGAATAGTGTTGTACGTGTCTTCATGCAGAATTAAACATACGTATATGTTATAGCATATATAAAACAGTCTCCTACATAAATATAGCAAAACAAAAAGAGCTAATAATATATTGCATTTATCTTTCTGAATGGATATTAGATTCTACTTTAAATATTCAATAATATATTATACATTTCTGAAAAAGATTAAAATTAAATTATCATATAAATAATTAACATTGCTAAATACCTATTAAAAATATGGTTTTTTTAAATAGTATATTGGGAGTTGTGTCCAAGAGATGTTACATTTCTATGGAAATCTTCGTAGGAAGTGCATTGCTTGGACTTTCATCCAAAGTGAGCACTTGCTGAAAGTTGGTACGACGACTCTTAAATTCCTACTTATTTGTAATTTCAAAAATGAATTACCTTTCTCCTCGCATCTTTGCTTTACTTTCTTACTTTTTCCTTATATATATATATATATATATATATATATATATATATATATATATATATATATATATATATATATATATATATATATATATATATATATGTGTATATATGAGTATATGAATACACACAAAAATGTGTGTGTTCATACATACGTACATTTTATTGCACTTTAAAAAAAATTGTTTACACATTCCTATTGTAAATGGATATTAAAGAAAAACTGTAATAACTATTATTATGTGAACGTGTATAACCAGTGTTATATATCTATATTTATATGTATATATATATATATGTATACAATATGTATATATAAATATTTATTTATATATACAGGTATATACTATATATATACATGTATATGTATAGGTATTTATATATGCTTATATATGTGTGTGTTTATTTATATTTAAATACTAATGTATATAAAGATAAGTATTTATATACATTTTTGTGTATATAATTATACTTAATACATATACAATTTATATGTATGTATATATTATTTTTTGACATGACGAGTGTTTCATGGATTCACTAGATTGCACGTTAAGAATGTATACTTTTTTTTAAAAATAGCTAGTGGGACTACGTATTTTATCTTGTAAAATAAAAAAAAAATATCATTTAACTGCATTGTACGAGGCTTTTATTAAATCTTTATTTAACCCAATTTTCACGGTGAAGCAATTGCACTACTTGTATTTACATTATTTCTAGAATACATAAAAGTGTTTCTGAAAACATTAATGACGTATTATTTACACATTTGTACAATTCCAATTAACAACTTATCGTGTACTTTTTTTGATAACTTGTAGCATCTGTAACTGCTGTTGTTATTCAAAATTATAACGATTTTTAAAATTTGTGACAACTATTTTAACATAAGCTAATCTCAAATTATTACATTTTATTCACAGATTTTTTTTAGTAGGTTATCATTTAATTACAGCTTTATTTTGCAATAATACAGTTAATAAAGTATAAACATCGAGACCTGCATTCTTACATTGTTTTTTTTTTAAATATACTTTTCATTATCCCTTTGTTTCTTTGCAGCACCATGATTAAGTAAGGCGCAGAAGTGTGAAACCATAAAAACGTGTGACGTCAATTGTGACAATTTTTACTGAGAAAATATCGATTCATCTTTTACACTGATAATTAATAAATAAGTTGTAAATAACTAAATTCTGCAGCACTGGGCGAAACCTGAATGGCTCTATTGTATTAAAAATATAAAGTACTGAAATAAATGGGAAAAAAAACGTTTTAATACTAATAAAGAAAAGCGTGGGTCACTTTAGTATCTATTGGATACCTTTACTAATGTTAAGGAAGACACCCACGCTTTTCTTTATAGTTATTTAAATAGTAGTCTATAATTTATTTTCTACTTTTTAGTGCATTATTACATAAAAGCTTGTTATTAAAACGTTTTTTATGAATTTTTTTTCAGTACTTTACATGTTTTATTTACAATAGAGTTACATGACTAAAAACCATTGCGCGCCTACTGTACATCACGTTCAGTAGGCGCGCAATGGTTTTTGAACGCAGCCATTGAACGTGATGGCGCAGCTATTGAAGGTGATGACGCGTGTGTTGTGGTTGGATAGACATGCCTACTAATTCGGTCCAAATATTAATTAATTCATAAAAAATTAATTAGGCATCCAATTAAGTCAAATTTAGTTTCAGATTGCATTGTCTTCATGTCTTGACCCACGTGCCTACTGTGAATCGTGTCGGTCAAGTAGAACTGTCCGAATTTTCACTCCTCCGTTTCGGTCTAGACTGACGACTGACGACTGACGAGGAAGTGAGTTAAATAAAAGATTGTAAAAACATGCACAGTCAGACGGAAACAAAATATGACGTCATATTCAGCATATAGTAGAAAAAAGTCGACAGCCGGGAGAGTGCACAAAATAATATGACGTCATTGATTCTCGAGTAAACATTGAATTAAAAACGCCAATTTTGTCTAATCTAAGAGGTTTGCGTGAAGAGTTTCTTTCATACAATTCTTCGGGTAGGGGCGAAGCCCCACCCTCGAGACACAACGACTAAGCCGCCGCCCCCCCCCTCACCCCAACTCAAAAGAAATTTCTTCATCGATACTCTATAATAAAAATTACCGCCTGATTAATGTGTCTAATCTAAAAAGTGGTTTGCTTGCAGTTTCTTTCGTGCAATTCTTCGGGTAGTGGCTAAGCGCGACACCAGTGTTTCTTTCAGACTTTTTCCTCCCCGGAGGGGAAAAATTTTTTCTAATCTAAAAAGTGTTTAGCGTGCAGTTTTTTTTTTTCAAGCATCTCTTCCGGTAGGGGCGAAGCCCCGCCCAGATTCTTCCTTTAGTTTGTATGATCTACAAATGCGAAAAGAGTTTCTTTCAGACTTTTTCCTCCCCGGCGAGGGGTGGGGGTACTTGAATTTTATTTGGGGGGGGGGGTAGAATTTTCTGGGACACTGGAAAAGGTGTATAATTATTTTCGTTGAATGGGACGGTAGACATGTTTTGGGGTGTGTGGGGGGGGGGGCGGAGCCCCCTCCTCCCAAGTAGAGTTGCCTGAAAGAAACTCTAAATGCGACTTTTGTCATGAATGAGATTAGGTGCATGGTTCAGGGATATGCCTATGACTATATTTTGTATAAATTAAAGTACCGATTCTGGATAAAAATCCGTTTTCAATGTCATTTTTTGTTTCCGGTTAAATTGAATTAAGATGGTGATTCGGTTTTGGTTTTAGTTTAGAGAAAATAGACAGCACTATCAACCTAGCGCCCGTTGTATCCTTCCTCAACGGGCCATTTTTCTCGTCTATAATAATAGTTTCGTTGTCTGTGTATCTATCTGTCTATCTATCTATCTATCTGACAAGAACGCTATAGAGAAAACACAAGCAAAATAAAAACTTTCATAGTAAAACGAAAACGTAACATGACTTCACATTGATAATCCTAATTTATAAATCCCCACGTTCGCACATCTCTCTCTCTCTCTCTTTCTCTGTCCGCAAAAAATTTTCGCCGGACATCACGTCAGAATCGGCAGCGATATATGGAGAACTTTTTACGGACTTTTGTTGAAAATAATATGTTAGATGTTTTAAATGTATAACCACAATTTTACTTAAAGAAGAAAAATAAAAATTAAAGGCGTATTCGAATGTAGAGAAACAGTATTATTTATGCAACCGGAAAAGCATTAATACATGTGAAAAAGAACGCATAAAACTGTGACGTCGCTATTGCTTATACATTAACTAATGACGTCATCTGCTGTGTTTTGAATAAAAAGAAATGAACTATTTCATTCAAATTTGATTTAGATCTACGTACACTATGAAATGTATACAATACAATTTTTCCGGCCTAAACTCATAAAATTTATTTTATTTATTTGGATTCTAGATCTAGATATTCTAGATTCATCTATTCAAATAATACATTTCTATACTAAAGTATTTCAGGCCTTAATTACTTTATTGAAATCTTTGTTTATCTATAATATATAAAGCAAAGTTGTCGGGTGCCCGATAGGGCACTTCCCGGCGCCGCAGGCGCTTCAAATTTGGCAGGATCTTGCCTTGGGGCGACTGAACACGGGGGCCGGTTGACCGAAAAGTCTACGATGATGGGGTCAAAACTGACCTCGACTGACCGGCGCCTTATATGAGCTATAAATAAAAAAAAATGTCCACGGAGGAACCTCTTCATAACTCCTGAGGTCGTAGACCGACCCTCGGGCGAATTAATTAAGCATTCAAATTCTCAATGTCTTCGAAAGCCTAAGCAAAGCTGGGCAGCATGCCTAGTATAGTAGAAAATGGGATCCGGACAAAAGGCCGACATGGACAAAAGGCCGACACGGACAAAAGGCCGACATAGACAAAAGGCCGACAAGACAAAAGGCCGACAAGACAAAAGGCCGACTGCCAAAAGGCAGAAATCCAAAAGGCCGACAAGACAAAAGGCCGACAAGACAAAAGGCCGACATCCAAAAGGCCGATAAGACAAAAGGCTGACAAGACTAAAGGCCGACAAGTTTTATAAATTATAACAAACTACAATTACAGCCATGTTTAATATCTAAAATATGTAATTATATACGACTTTTTAAGTTTCTAATAAATAGGATAAAATAAAACATACGATGTAACCAATTATTTGTTGCTGATATATTGGTCCATATATAGGGAAATCACAGGGGTAAGTTTACACAAAAAACAAAAATAACGCACCAATTTCGGCACACGTATCACAATCACAACAGAATTAATGAATCCAACGAATATAATATACATTTTTTTCACGCAATTCGCAATGGACAAAACTAAATATAATTCAAATTTTGTCTGTATTTAACATGTAGTCTAGCCAAGGCACGCGATTGTTCTACTTCATTCGGTTTCTTTGATTTCTTTGCGAAATATGGTGGTAACGCCACTTGTCTGTTTATTCTTTGTACACTCCCGTCATCTCCAGTTCACCTTATAAGGATAGCAACTAGCATTGTCTCTTGGCGTTCCACCTTGTTGCATGTGGGCGATGATGCCGGCGTCTTTTGACTTGGTTTTTTGATGATTATCTTACCTCGATTACATAGAAGGAGCTATGAAAGACAGCAGTGACAGCATTTCGCAATATCTAGGTGTTGATCCTTCGTATTTAAGACACACCCGTAATCTCTAGTCGCTTGACCCGATGGTTCACCTTATAAGGATAGCAACTAGCACCGTCTCTTCTCTTGAACGTTTCACCTTTTTGTCATGCCTTATTTCGATTATTCTCAATATAGGAGCTATGCAGTAACAAAACTTTAGCGATATTAGTATTTTTTATGCTTGTCGGCCTTATGGTTTGTCGGCCTTATGGTTTGTCGGCCTTATGGTCTGTCGGCCTTATGCCTTGATCTAGATTAGACCTATTCTAGATAGATCTAGATTTAGATAGATAAATCACAAAGATTTATATCAAGTATTTAAGGACTAAAAATGTATTATGATTTTAAAATGGATTGTATTTTTATCTAATTAATCTTCGGTTTGTATCTAATTAATCTTTGGTTTGACCTAGATTCTAGATCTAGAATGATCTATAAATAACTTTCTTGGCCACCTGATATTTAGATCTATAAATAAATAGATAACTTTCTTGGACAGATTGTAGTGCTAGAGAAATTTATTGTAAAACTAAATAAGAAAAGACAATTGAAAATTTATATAAGTTTTGGAACGTAATAAAAACAGCAAAGGGACGTATTGCTAAAGTCATAGCCGACAGAAAATTAGCTTTAGAACGCGTTAAACTTTTGAATGGGCCACAAACTCTATAATGGAAGCCGCCATTTTATTGTACTAAAAAGTAAACAAATCATGTGACGTCACTATTCAGTCAAAGTAAAGCCATTGTTTGAAAATTTTAAAATTAATGTGGTTAATCTACCTATGAATAAATCAATAAATTAATTAACGGCTTTAAATAAATGTGTGATTAACTGTCTGAAAAGAGAAATTGTTCTCTACCTACATACTATTTTACAGCCCTAAACATAGTGCAGATTCTCTCCAGTAGCAAATCAGACAAACAAATAAATATTGAAACATGGAAACAAAGTTGAGTTTTAGTGGTATAGAGATAGACAGATGGACAGACCGACAGACCGACAGACCGACCGACCGACAGACAGACAAGATTACAATACTTCTTCTATATACTGAATTCTATCCGTTATTTCGCATGTTAGAGCATTATTTTAATAAATTGAAATAGACATTGATTAAAATACTTGGCTGACAGCTCTCAGTCGACATTTTAGAAAAAAAAATCAGTGTTCGAAAATTAAAACCTGCAATTTTGAGAGGGGTTGTTGACTGATATGTGTCACCATTCACCATTTAGTGGTTGTGTGTGGGGGGATGTACTGGTTTTTGTGTGAAGATGTGTGCCGGAGGGGACGGCGCGGAGGTAAAAATCACCAAAAAAAAGGGCGACATCATTTATGGATGACCCCTTATGAACCCGAGTCTAAATGCTAACATTAATTATTAAAATATACCCAACGTCTTTAGCGATTAATACTTAAAGCAATTTTTTCCAACACACGCACAGAAAGCGTTCAATACTTAATATGAGTTTTTGGTTGGTAATGGGAAAAACATTGAAATAAATAGCCCCCCCCCCCCCCCAGTGGGGCTTATATTTAAACGTGGACTTCTTAAAGTATCTTAAGGATACTCATTTCTGGCCTGACCGGGTTTTGAAAAAAAAATCAATTAAAACTAATCACAACAACATGTCATGTGTGTGAGTGTTGGTCTGTTTTGAAAATCTGTTTTATTTTATGTTTAACTTAATACTTCTAATCCTCAAGTCGGTCAAAAGAATATAAATAATGAAAGCTTTGTATAATTAATGGTGTCTCGTGTTTTGTTTATTTTTATGTTGTTTTTTTTTGTATTTATATTATTAATTTTAACTACATTTCATTTTTTACTTTCTCGTATATACGAAGTATCTGCCATCCGGTGTTAGAGCTTTGTCGTGGCTTGGCAGCTTGTGTATCCTGACCACCCCCAGAGCTATACCAGCGGGAGTGTAAACTCCTGGTAGGTTCAACCAAGCTGGGAAGGTCTGCGCGGGTAGGGATCAGACCAAAGCTAACACCCTGGTCCTCTAGGTTGGGGGTTGAAACATAAGGCTAGCAACCTTATCTCGTAAAAAATATACCGCTACAGAAACTGCAAGTACACAAATCCAACACCGACTTGGTCGAGGAGGTTCCTCTCTAGAAGAGCCCATGATGCCTACTAGTGAAAGCCTAACGGAAGCTAGTTTGCTGACAAATCTCCTAACGCCCAAGACCAAAACCAGATTAGGGACCTGGAACATCAGAACCCTATATGAAAGCAGCAGATCAGCCCAGGTCGCCAAGGATATGAGGAGGTATAAATAAAAGGTCCTGGGACTAAGTGAGACACGATGGAACGGCAGTGGCCAAACTAGGTTGGTCTCGGGAGAGACTGCCATCTACTCAGGTCACGAGGACGAAGATCATGAACACACGCAAGGTGTAGCCATAATGATGTCTCCAGAAGCAACAAATGCTTTGATTGCATGGGAGCCAGTCTAACCACGACTCATAGCAGCTCGTTTCAATGCCAAGGGAAGGAAAACAACTTTAATCCAGTGCTATGCACCCACAAATGCTGCAACAGATGAAGAGAAAGAGGACTTCTATAGCGCCCTGCAGGCTCAAATCGACAAATCACCAAAAAGAGATATAAAGATAGTAATAGGGACATGAATGCCAAAGTTGGAACAGAAAATAGAGAACGGGAGCTCACAATGGGGAAAAATGGAATAGGCATAATAAATGAAAACGGGGAACTCTTTGATGATTTCTGCGCATTTAATGATCTAATTATAGTGGGGGGGGACAATTTTCTCTCATAAAGATATACATAAGACCACCTGGACGTCACCCGATGGCAAAACAAAAAACCAAATTGATCACATCACAGTTTCCAGAAATTGGAGAAGAAGTTTAATGGATGTTAGGGCGAAACGAGGTGTAGATGCAGCCTCAGACCACCAACTCGTGGTTGCAATACTAAAATTAAAACTAAAATCCTACAGGAATCGAGCTGATAAACCGCACTTTAAATTCAATACAACATTTCTTAGGTGTCCAAAAATAAAGGAAGACTTTAACTGCGCAGTAAAAAAATAGGTATGAAGCACTCTCCAGCCTGGCAGAGGATACAGTAGAGGAAACAGTAGAGCAAAAATGGCAAGGAATACAGGAACTATGGAAGTCAACATGCACTGACATATTGGGGAGAAGAAAAAATGAACAAAAAGAATGGATCACAACAGAGACATGGGCCAAAATTGAAGATAGAAAAGAGATAAAGCAGAAGATTCACAAATGTAAGGATGAAAAAGAGAAAATAAACCTCAGAACACATTATTGTGAAGTAAATCGCATGGTCAGGAAAAGTGCAAAAGAAGACAAAAGACATTTCATACAGGAGATGATAGAGGAGGCAGAAACTGCGGCACGACTAGGAAAAATGAAGAGGCTCTATGAAGTAACCAGGACACTACCAGGTAAGAACATTAATCCCAACAAACCAGTAAAGGATAAAGTAGGAAATATCTTAACAAGTGACACAGAACAGAGAGACAGATGGGTACAGCACTTTGATGAGATTTTAAACCATCCTCTCTCATCAAACATCCCGGATATACCACCTGCAAATCACCTACTAGATGTGTGTACAGATCCACCCACAAAGTTAGAAACAATAAGAGCAATAAAAAACATGAAAAATAGCAGCTGGCCCGGACGGCATCCCACCAGAGGCACTCAAAGCAGACCCAGCCATATCAGCAGACATACTACATCCTCTACTTAAGCAGATTTGGGAAGAAGAGATAATCCCATCTGACTGGAAACTGGGATACCTGATAAAACTGCCAAGAAGGGAGACCTGACACAATGCAACAACTGGAGAGGGATAATGCTTCTTTCAGTTCCAAGTAAGGTGCTGACAAGAATCATCCTAGAGAGACTTAGAGATGCCTTGGACAAAAAGCTGAGACAAGAACAGGCTGGTTTTCGTCAGGACAGGTCATGTACTGACCACATTGCCACGCTGCGCATCATTATCGAACAGTCCCTTGAGTGGCAATCCCCCTTATACATGACCTTTGTCGACTTCGAAAAGGCGTTTGACAGTGTGAATAGAGATGCTATCTGGAAGTTAATGAGCCACTATGGAATACCCAAAAAATGTATATCTATCACACAGAAACTATATGAAGACTCCACCAGTCAGGTAATACACAAGGGAAAGCTAACAAAACCATTCACGGTAACGACGGGAGTAAGACAGGGATGTATGCTATCGCCAATGATATTCTTGATGGTGATCGACTGGATCATGCTGAGGGCCACAAAAAACGACACAGGAATCCAGTGGAGTTTCACAAAAAGGTTGGAGGATCTTGATTTTGCCGATGACATCTGCCTACTATCTCATAAGCATCAACACACGCAAGTCAAACTAAATCGGCTGTCTGAAGAAGCCTCCAAAATCGGACTAAAAATCAATAAAAACAAAACAGAGGTCATCAGAATCAATAACAGCCAGGACCTGCCGATACAGCTAAATGGAGAAGATTTACGAGAAACAAACACATTCACATATCTGGGAAGCGTGATCAATAAGGACGGGGGAGCAGACGAGGACATAAAATGCCGTATCAACAAGGCTAGATGCGCCTTCAACTCACTGCGCCCGATGTGGAGGTCCACAGCCCTGTCACTCTGGAGCAAAATTGGGATTTTCAACACAAATGTTAAGGCAGTGCTACTCTATGGCTCGGAGACCTGGAGGGTTACGAAGACAAATACTGATAGGCTACAGGCGTTCGTAAACAAATGCCTACGTCATATACTCAAAATAAGATGGCCAGACAAAATATCAAACAAAGACCTGTGGCAAATTTTAAAGCAACGGCCAATAGAGAAAGATATTAAGGCCCGAAAATGGGGATGGATCGGACACACGTTAAGAAAAGATAACCGGAAGTGGTACTTTTTCTACTTTGAATTTTTCAAAAGCCTATAACTTGAGTACTATTTTCAGATAGATAAATGAAATTTCACATGTAAGTAAAAGATCTAATTTTCTACCTTCTGTTAAATTTTGAGTAATTTCCGTTGACCGGAAGTAGTAATTTACGCTACTTCCGATTTCTCAAAAAACTAATGTAAATTTTTAAAGTACTAATAATATTGCGCACTATTATGCACTTTTTTATATGGCGTTCACTTGGTGTGCAATTCTTTTGTCTACGAGATTTTATTCTATTTTTAAAACTTTAAGTATTTAAAATGGATTAAAAATCATGTCTATAGCCCGAGTTCCCATCCCCTGTTATTATTAAAACTAATAGTTTCGCTGTCTGTGTATCTATGTATCTATCTATCTATCTGTGTATGTATCTGACAAGAACGCTCTAGAGAAAACACAAGCAAATTAAAAACATGCATAGTATTTCGAAAAACGAAGTATGACGTCGACACATTTAGCATAGAGTAGAAAATAATCTCACGCCGGAGAGTGCACACAGTAATATGACGTCATTGATTCTCGAATAAACATTGAATAAAAAGGAAATTTTGTCTAATCTAAGTGGTTTGCGTGAAGAGTTTCTTTCATACAGTTCTTCGGGTAGGGGCGAAGCCCCACCCCCGCGTAAGAACGTCTGAGCCCCCCCTCCCCAACTCAAAAGAAATTTCTTCATCGATACTCTATAATAAAATTACAACCTAATTAATGTGTCTAATCTAAAAAGTGGTTTTCTTGCAATTTCTTTAATGCAATTCTTCGGGTAGTGGCTAAGCGCGACACCAGTGTTTCTTTCAGACTTTTTCCTCCCCGGAGGGTGGAACTTTTTCTAATCTAAAAAGTGATTAGCGTGCAGTTGTTTTTTTCAAGCATCTCTTCCGGTAGGGGCGAAGCCCCGCCCAGATTCTTCCTTTAGTTTGAATGATCTACAAATGCGACCAGTGTTTCTTTCAGACTTTTTCCTTCCCGGCGAGGGGTGGGGGTACTTGAAATTTTCGGGGGCGGGGGTAGAATTTTCGGGGAGGGGGCGGACACTGGAAAAAGTATATAATTATATTTCGTTGAATGGGACGGTAGACATGTTTTGGAGTGTATGTGTGGGGGGGGGGGGGGGAGGGGGGTTGGTTTTAGTTTAGAGAAAAAAGAAAGCACTATGAACCTAGCGCCCGTTATATCCTTCCTCAACGGGCCATTTTTCTCGTAATACTAATAGCTTCGCTGTCTGTGTATCTATCTATCTATCTATCTATCTATGTAACTGACAAGAACGCTCTAGAGAAAACACAAGCAAATTAAAAACATGCTAAGCGCGACACCAGTGTTTCTTTCAGACTTTTTCCTCCCCGGAAAGGGGTGGGGGTACTTGAAATTTTCGGGGGCGGGGGTAGAATTTTCTGGGTGCGGGCAGACACTGGAAAAAGTATATAATTATATTTCGTTGAATGGGACGGTAGACATGTTTTGGAGTGTGTGTGTGTGTGGGGGGGGGGGGGGGGTTATAAATTAAAGTACCGAGAAAAGAGACAGCACTATCAACCTAGCGCCCGTTGTATCCTTCCTCAACGGGCCATTTTTCTTGTTAATACTAATAGTTTCGCTGTCTGTATCTATCTATCTATGTATCTGACAAGAACGCTCTAGAGAAAACACAAGCAATTTAAAAACATGCACAGTCAGACGGAAACGAAATATGTCGTACATTTAGCATATAGAAGAAAATAGTATCAAGCCTGAGAGTGCACACAGTAATATGACGTCATTGATTCTCGAGTAAACATTGAATAAAAAGGAAATTTTGTCTAATCTAAGTGGTTTGCGTGAAGAGTTTCTTTCATACAGTTCTTCGGGTAGGGGCGAAGCCCCACCCCCGCGTAAGAACGCCTAGCCCCCCCTCCCCAACTCAAAAGAAATTTCTTCATCGATACTCTATAATAAAATTACCGCCTAATTAATGTGTCTAATCTAAAAAGTGGTTTTCTTGCAATTTCTTTAATGCAATTCTTCGGGTAGTGGCTAAGCGCGACACCAGTGTTTCTTTCAGACTTTTTCCTCCGCGGAGGGTGGAACTTTTTCTAATCTAAAAAGTGATTAGCGTGCAGTTGTTTTTTTCAAGCATCTCTTCCGGTAGGGGCGAAGCCCCGCCCAGATTCTTCCTTTAGTTTGTATGATCTACAAATGCGACCAGTGTTTCTTTCAGACTTTTTCCTTCCCGTAGAGGGGTGGGGGTACTTGAAATTTTCGTTAGCGGGGGTAGAATTTTCTTGGAGGGGGCGGACACTGGAAAAAGTATATAATTATATTTCGTTGAATAGGACGGTAGACATGTTTTGGAATGTGTGTGTGTGTGGGGGGGGGGGGGGAAGGGTGGGCAAGCCCCTCCTCCCCAGTAGAGTTGCCTGAAAGAAACTCTAAATGCGACTTTTGTCATGAATGAGATTAGGTGCATGGTTTAGGGATCTGCCTATGACTATATTTTGTATAAATTAAAGTACCGAGAAAATAGACAGCACTATCAACCTAGCGCCCGTTGCATCCTTCCTCAACGGGTCATTTTTCTCGTCTATAATAATAGTTTTGATGTCTGTGTATCTATCTATCTGTGTATGTATCTGTCTGACAAGAACGCTCTAGAGAAAACACAAGCAAATTAAAAACATGCATAGTAATTCGAAAAACGAAGTATGACGTCGTCACATTTAGCATAGAGTAGAAAATAATCTCAAGCCGAAGAGTGCACACAGTAATATGACGTCATTGATTCTCGAATAAACATTGAATAAAAATGCAATTTTGTCTAATCTAAATGGTTTGCGTGAAAGAGTTTCTTGCATACAATTCTTCGGGTAGGGGCGAAGCCCCTCCCCCCGCGTAAGAACGTCTGAGCCCCCCCTCCCCAACTCAAAAGACATTTCTTCATCGATACTCTATAATAAAATTACCGCCTAATTAATGTGTCTAATCTAAAAAGTGGTTTTCTTGAAATTTCTGTAATGCAATTCTTCGCGTAGTGGCTAAGCGCGACACCAGTGTTTCTTTCAGACTTTTTCCTCCCTGGAGAGGGGTGGGGTACTTGAAATTTTCGGGGGCGGGGGTAGAATTTTCGGGGAGGGGGCGGACACAGGAAAAAGTATATAATTATATTTCGTTGAATGGGACGGTAGACATGTTTTTTGGGGGGGTGGGGGGTGGGGGTGGGGGGTGGGGGGTGGGGGGTGGGGGGTGGGGGGGAATGGTGTGTGTGTGTGGGGGGGGGGGGGTGGGGTGTGGTGGTTTTAGTTTAGAGAAAAGAGACAGAACTATCAACCTAGCGCCGGTTGTATCCTTCCTCAACGGGCCATTTTTCTCGTTTTATATAAGAATATTCGAGAAAGTTTAGGGGAGATCACTCCCGGTTTATTATACTATGCCATTCTTTAGTAATTATTTTTCTTAAAATAATAATTAAGATAAGTAATTGCTGTTTAATTTGATTAGTACAAACCCATTAAAATGAGCTTATGAGCAGCCCTATTTGACTATTTAAACAAGTTAATAAAAAGTCTAGTGACAATTTAAGCGCAATTTCCTTATGTTATCCATAACAATTTTTAATTTTTTGTGACCGAACGAAAGGATATTTTTTTGCGCTAAAAACCTACACGATGCTCAGTTTAAACATTCTCAATTAATTTTTTGTGACCGAACGAATGGATATTTTTGAAAACTTTCTTCGGCAATATTGGTCTAAATTATGGCAGGAATCGATTGGTAAATGTTTCAAGTCGCTAAGTGGTCTGGTTGCCGAGATATGGGCCAAACACTGCATTTTTTCGAGGTTTTTTGGCTTTTCCGGGAAATCCAGGAAGGAATTCCGGAATTTTTTTGGTCCACAATCATCCTCGGAACTTGCTTAACATATTTGCCTTGGAACTAGTCCTCGATATTGCTTCGTTGAGGAGGAGATACGTCTTAAAGGCTGCAGACACACATCCATACATTCATTCATTCATCCATCCATCCAGAAATGACGAGTTAATAATCGCAATTGTCCGTATGGAAATTGAGCTAAAAAGGGAAATAATATATGGTAGTGGTTTGAACGCTTGCCTATCTTTCCCACTACAGCTCATGTGTATATTTTTTTACGCAACATCATGTCTTAGCTGCTATATAACATCACTACTGTATTAAGTCTTAGATCTGTTTGTTATTTACAAAACCACTATCAAGGTGCCAGTGGCGAAACTAATATATATATATATATATATATATATATATATATATATATATATATATATATATATATATATATATATATATATATATATATATATATATATATATGGATATAGATAGATATAGATATATATAACAAATTATTAATCGTGTATTTATTTTAGACGTTTGCCTTGTTTTCTAGAACAATGGTTATTAAACGTAAACAATGTCGGCACTTTATTTCTTGGATCTTAGTTGTTGGGGCGCTAGTTTGTCCACACCATCACCGATACGAGCCAGCTTAGTTGTTGAGGCGCTATTTATTCGCTTCTTGTAATTCTAAGAGCGGGAGGGGAGGTTTGAGAAAGGAACTTAAAAGGGCCAACAAAGCGCCGATGTACTTTTATTCATCAGTACCGAATGTGGGATGGCCTCAAAAAGTCGTCTTAATATCTAGCGGCCTCTCGCGCAATGGACGTTTTTACAAAAGAATTTTGCCGACAACAGCGTGTGTTTGATTGCAGGAAAAATAATATACAAGAGCGTAGGATGGTGTTTAATAAAATAAAGATAATCCAACCGCAGCTTTAGTATTCTTTTTTTCAAAACAACCATCAGGTCGAAAATGCAAGAAAATTAAATTTTTAAACTATAAAAAAAAATGATTATGAGCGGCTGTGGGCCTCCTAAACGGCGTGCCCCCCCCCCCCCCCCGCCCCCGCATTGCGGGGTCTGGCGGCACTGTAGTTCCGCCCCTGAACACAATACATTTTACTGAAATAGTTAATTGATAGTAGGTTTTGAGAGATCTACTAAATTTATGTGGGCGTCCACATCGGTGGGGAGTAACAGTGAGAGGGGTGTCAAAATAGACGAGTGTGGACGGGGGCGATCCAAATTTAGTGTGGATGTCATAAATGAATGATCCCGTAAGCATAGGAATGGGGTTTATTTAGGCTATGCAAAATCTTGATCAACCAGAACCGTTTAACACGAATTTACCCCATGAACCCTACATTCAGAGGCGCCGCGAGGCGAGGTGACACCGTGTAAAGGGGGTGACACCCAGATAACAATTAGCAAAATATATAGAAGAAACATGCTTTTTGGCAGTTCAATGAATGATTAATCAGAATTAAAAGGTATGTGACATAACATCTAATTTACTATAAAAATATAGAAATATATAGTTGGATTAAAATAATATGTGCTCACATTCACTCAATTTAGCAAAATGATAGTTGGTGACGTGACACCAATTACAACTATTTATAGGCCTATATAGACATATATATATATATATATATATATATATATATATATATATATATATATATATATATATATATCCTATAGTCTTTGCTTTGGTTTAGGGGGGGGGGGCAGAGTTTCTTCCAGGCATCTCTTCGTCCGTCCCCGAAAATTTCAAGTGCCCCCCCCCCCCCCGGAGGAAAAAAGTCTGGATGAAACGGGGGGGGGGGGGGGGTTGACACCATATGGGTGACACCCGACCTAACGACGCCACTGCCAACATTATATAACTACACTTAATAACTAGCATATCGGTATAGGGCTTAGGCTAATATAAAGCCTAGGCCCGCCTAGGCTAAAATTTAAAATTATGAAGTCTAGTCTAGACCCTTCATAGTAATCATAGATGCATTTGTTTAGCAGGTACGAGTTTATTCCCTTATATTATTACCGCATTTAACGCCATCTATAGGATTTTATACGTGGCCAATGGATGCGGCCATAACGGTGTAGACTACCGGAAAATACAAGACAAATCCAATCTGAAAAATCTGATCTATTTTACAATCATCTATTTGTAGAAACTCAATAGAAATGAAGCATAGATATTTTTTCTTATTTATATTTATGATACTGATTTCTATGATATGCTGCGATGAACATGATCACACTGTAAGTTAAATACAAAGTAGTGTAGACATCTAGACTTCTAGATCTAGATTAGTTCTAGAAGTTCTAGACTCTAGATTTCTTGATCTCTAGTCTAAATCTAGATTCTAGATCTTCTAGTTTAGAGAAATTAATAAACAAATTCAACCTTTTTATTTAGTAAGTGTAATCCTAGTAACTAGATCTAGATTATCTAATATAGATTCTAGATTCAGAATCTAAAATCTAGATCCAGATCCACTAAAATCTAAAATAATTCTGCTTGATTGATTGATTAGATTTATTTTCTAGTAGATTCTAGATCTATCTAGATTAGATCTAGATCTATTTAGTCGTCTAGGCTAGATCTTTATTCTAGATCTAGCTAGCTAGTTCTAGACTAGATTTAGAAAATCTAACTAGAGATCTAGATTCAAGATGAGATCACTAGATTCTAGATCTAGAAAAATCTAGATCTAGAGTCTATTCTAGATTCTAGATTTAATCTAATTTTTTAAAATCTAGATCTAGATCTAGATTTTAAAAAATTGATTTTAGATCTTTTCTAGACTCTTAGTTAAGTTAGTCTAGATCTAGATCTAGTAAAATATGAAGGAAGTGGCTATTCAGACCCGGGCCGCTATTCAGACCTGGCAATAAGCTCGTCTAGGCTAGATCTTTATTCTAGATCTAGCTAGCTAGTTCTAGACTAGATTTAGAAAATCTAACTAGAGATCTAGATTCAAGATGAGATCACTAGATCTAGAAAAATCTAGATCTAGATCTAGAGTCTATTCTAGATTCTAGATTTAATCTAGATCTAGATTTTAAAAAATTGATTTTAGATCTTTTCTAGACTCTTAGTTAAGTTAGTCTAGATCTAGTAAAATATGAAGGAAGTGGCTATTCAGACCCGGGCCGCTATTCAGACCTGGCAATAAGCTCGTATACAGTTTACACACTCGAACAACCTGTATTAAAATTACCAAGTGACTACTTGGAAAAAGATTTTTCGCCCTAACGTCTCCACCTAGTCAGCAAAAGATAGTTCTGAGCATTCGCAGTGACCTATGGCTAGGTTTAGGGGTAGGGTTGGGGATAGGGCTAGAGTTCTGCGGTTGTAAACACACGCATGCGCAGAACCATCGAAAACATCATCGCGAAGGCAATTCGTGGTTTCTCTCCATTGTGCATGCGTATCTTTTTCGGCTAGCATCAGCCTTAAAATTATACCATTAGATGATTAGGCCTATACTAGCATACCTTTATGACTTTATGTTTATAAATTTGATTTTTCTTGTGGATTTGCTAGTATTTTGTAGTGTTTATTGTAATTTGTGATGCGGATTTGCTTGTTGCTATTGCTAAATATTCTATATTTAGCTCTATGGCCTATACAAAATCATTAAATATATATTAAATTATTGTAAAACATCGTGGCAGATTGGAGAACGTCATTCTTCCCATAACTCGATCAGTTATGCAGGGTTCGGAAATCATCAAGATCTAAAAATTTCAGTGAATGTGAGAAGTAAAGTGTAGTTAACTACTAAAACTAGAACTCTGATGGGTACCTAACTCATGTTAGGGAAAGTGAAGGCGGCTGGGCATAGTGCTGACCACACTATCTCTTCATATGCCGAGGTCACAGAAACAAGTGAACTCTACTTCACTTGCCCCATAGACCGTCAGGTTTGAAAGGGAAACTTTTTCGATAGTTGTGTTGTTTGCATAATTGTCTTTTTAAAAAATTATTTTAGATTTTATATCTGTCCTTGATTTAGGTTTTTAAACATGCCAGTTTTAAACATCGTTGATCACCCGCTCACGTTTTCTTGTCAGCGCTGGAAAAATACCAACACTGTTTAGCTAGGGTCACTGAGGTCACATTGGTTTAGATGTGAATAGTGTAGGCTTATTTGTTGTTGTCGTCTGTCTCCCTCTAGTAATAGTACTAGATGGTTATTTTTTTGTGCTTTGTTTGCTTCCTGCTTTCATCAGTTTCCGACTTTTTTCAGTGGTTGATGTTTACCCATCCCCACCATTCATTATTACAACAAAAAACACCCACTGTATAATGAGATCTCCCTCTTTAAAAAAAAATGAAGATTAATCATAGGAGAATTAGAAGTATCTCTTATTCGTCGGTTTAAAAAAGAAATACGTGCTTTTAACTTCTGCAACCTGCTCAAAAATGCCAGTGACAGGGGCTTCCATAAATGCATTTAGGCTCCGAGGTCCCACTTATAAACTTCATCTGCCCATTAAGCTACTCAGGAAACTTGTGGTTATGATGTGGACAGAAGCGGCGCTAGTGTGGTGACAACAGGGAACCCCACCCCCTCAAGCTTGCACTTAAAGCTGCTCCACACTTCATAGATGACAATTGATGTTCATATATCGGCAGACTCAGGCGTTTTGCAGATGGCCATATTCCTAATTATAATAACATTTATGATTAAATCACTTATTAAAGAAATAAAAACGTGAAAATTGCAAACAAACAATAACAATAAACTGAAAATAATATTTGAATAAACATTAGATCTAGTAGTAGCAGCTCTACAAAAATCGTGAGTTTCTTAATGTATAAAAGTTGCATCTCATAATAATAATTCTAGTACTGTTTATGTTTATTGTCAGTCAATTAAATTGTTTAAAAGGCAGAATTTAAAAAAAAAAATTGCATGCTTTGTATTTAAAAACAAGACAATTGTATTCACTAGCAAATAGCAATACATTTCCATTCTTAGTTAACCCTATCCCTACAAGGCGGGTCAAATTGACCCGACAGTGCTACATTTTAGTTAATTACCGGTCAACCACTGGACCAATTGTTTTGAGCTTCTAGATATGCTACCTACACATACAATGCTTGATTTCAATATGAAAATGAATGTTTAATTTTGCACGTGTGCATGAGGGTGAGCAGGTTTAGGTTCACTATTCCTCTCCCTACTAACATGGGTCAAATTGACCCGTATACATTTATATAGAGGAAAATTCTACCAGTGTAGGGGAAAGTGGTATAAATCTATAACAACTTCCCTTGGGGCTAAACCTTTTGGGCTCATAAGTTTGTATCCCTTCCTGCCTTACTGAAGACACCAATTAGAAACATTTTTTTCAGCGCCGAAGCACAACAATCCTTTGTTCAACATTGTTGATAGCATGTTTTTTAGACTCAACCTTCTTGTTACAAATGAAATTGTAGTGGATTGCTAGGTTTGGGCCTACACATTGAGAAGTTGTAAGTAAATACAAAGACGTACCAACTGATGACTGCATGGGCTCATTGGCTACAGTATCAATTTGAAAGTGATGAATCAGACCTGAACTTATTTTTGCTGCTGAATTTGGAAATTAGGGCCATACTGTCAATAAAGTATTTAGGAAGTTGTGTAATAGGCTTTGATATAATAAAGATACAGCAGAAAGCCAATATTGATTTGTATCTATGCAGTCTTTTGCGATAAAAGCCATCTGATGAGGTCAGTTTTATGGTCCGTGGGTGTTAGACCATGTCACGTCAGACAGTCCAACCATAGTTGGGTAAAATAGGACCAACTCCTTGACCAGCTTTGAAGTACATGGAACCATATTTTGATAAATCAATGGATATTGATATAGAGATAACTAATGTATCAATCTCTGATAACTTTGTACTTTACATTGAACTAAGTTTTTGGCTACTAATCTGTGTCAAGCATGCATATTGATGCCAAATATCAAAATGGAAAGACTGCATGGAATCATCCATGTATGGCTCTAGCAATATGCCCCAATGGGCAAACTAAGTGGTAGCTGATGACCATATTTTTCAATTTGCAACTAATGTCCCCAATAAGTTAAAATACAAAGTGACAGCTTTTACAGATAGCAGCAGATTTACATTTGTATATTGTCAAAAGAGTTGGTTCTGCCCCTATTTGAGCTTTGAACACAGAAAACTATGTCCTAGCTACTGCAATTCACATTAGATCAAATAGTAGACAAAAAGAAGCCTTCTGAAACCACCCACTGAGTGTTGGGCCCAATAGCATCATCCAAACCATATTTTTCAATTTGCAAGTTATTATGCGAGATACGATAACATGTTAGATGGTAAAATTTGAAAATAACTATTTGTCAAATGTATAGATTCTATCTCTAGTCTATATAGCTTTACTGGGCAAACTGATAATAATTGTGATTTAAGTTTTCTTGTATATGAAAAATAAATTGATAGTAAAGGTATAAGTTTTTATATTTAGTAACGTCTAGTTTTATTTATGCCTAAAAAGTATAATAATAAAATACCTAAAACTAAAATTTAGTGTAGAAATGTATAAACTATAATTTTAGTGTCCATTTATCATTAAAATAATAGTTATGCTATAAAAAATATACATATGCAATAATAGATCCTTATATAAAAAGTATACGGGTCAAAATGACCCGCCTTGTAGTCGAATACAGTGAAATAGGGTTGTAGGGATAGGGTTAACCCCCCCCCCTTTTTTTCCTTCCTTTTTACTTTCTCGTATATACGAAGTATAGAGAAAGTCTTGTAATCGTGCAAAAAAAAAAAATCGATATTTTTACAAATCTCGACGTTTTACACCTCACTGATACGGAAAAACATAATTTTGCAATCTTGTCCGTCTGTCTGTGTGTCCGTGTGTAAACACGATAACTTGAGTACTGTTACAGCTAGGTTGATGAAATTTCATATATAAGTATTTTATCAAAATCGTAGATCTGTATCAACTTTTGAGCGATTTCCGATAACCGGAAGTGGTACTTTTTCTCCTTTGAATTTTTCAAAAGCCTATAACTTGAGTTCTATTTCAGATAGATAAATGAAATTTGATATGTAAGTAGAAGATCTAATTCTCTGCCTTCTGTCGAATTTTGAGTAATTTCCGTTTATCGGAAGTACTTATTTACGCTACTTCCGATTTCTCAAAAACGCATGTAAATTTATAAAGTACTAATAATATTGCGCACTATTATGCACATCTTTATTTAGCGTTCACTTGGTGTGCATTTCTTTTTTCTACGAGATTATATTCTATTTTTAAAAATTTGAGTATTTAAAATGGATTAAAAATCATGTCTAGAAGTCTATATCCCAAGTTGCCATCCCCCGTAGTGTTATATTACAGGGGTCGGCAACCTTTTGAAGCGGAAGAGCCAAAAGTTACAATTTTCAAAATTTCCCTGGTTTTAAAGAGCCACTAACAATATTTTTATTTCAAATATTTTAATTTTTTATTAAGATTATTAGTATTTGTTCAAGGAGCTGGAGAGCCGCATCTTGATATCAAAAGAGCCGCATGCGGCTCGCGAGCCGCAGGTTGCCGACCCCTGTTATATTAGAATATTCGAGAAAGTTTAGGGGAGATCATTCCCGGTTTATTAATATATTAAAAAGGTGAAAAAGCCATGCACACGCCCAAAGGTCGTGTCGCCATGTCGGGTGTAAATGCGTCTAAAATTATTTCAATATAAAATCTTAGACAGGTTATTCAATTATGAAAAGAATGATGTATAACATGTTAATAATATAAATCCCCACGTTCGCACATCTCTCTCTCTCTCTCTCTCTCTCTCTGTCTGTCCGCAAAATATTTTCGCCGGACATCACGTCAGAATCGGCAGCGATATATGAAGAACTTTTTACGGACTTTTGTTGAAAATAATATGTTAGATGTTTTAAATGTATAACCACAATTTTATTAAAAGAAGAAAAATAAAAATTAAAGGCGTATTCGAATGTAGAGAAACAGTATTATTTATGCAACCGGAAAAGCATTAATAGATGTGAAAAAGAACGCATAAAACTGACGTCACTATTGCTTATACATTAACTAATGACGTCATCTGCCGTGTTTAGAATAAAAAGAAATGAACTATTTCATTCAAATTTGATTTAGATCTACGTACACTATGAAATGTATACAATACAATTTTTCCGGCCTAAACTCATAAAATTTATTTTATTTATTTGGATTCTAGATCTAGATATTCTAGATTCATCTATTCAAATAATACATTTCTATACTAAAGTATTTCAGGCCTTAATTACTTTATTGAAATCTTTGTTTATCTATGCAATTTGCTAATCTCTATAATATATAAAGCAAAGTTGTCGGGTGCCCGAGAGGGCACTTCCCGGCGCCGCAGGCGCTTCAAATTTGGCAGGATCTTGCCTTGGGGCGACAGAACACGGGGGCCGGTTGGCCGAAAAGTCTACGATGATGGGGTCAAAACTGACCTCGACTGACCGGCGCCTTATATGAGCTATAAATCGAAAAAAAATGTCCACAGAGGAACCTCTTCATAACTCCTGAGGTCGTAGACTGACCCTCGGGCGAATTAATTAAGCATTCAAATTCTCAATGTTTTCGAAAGCCTAAGCAAAGCTGGGCAGCATGCCTAGTGTTAATATAAAGACAAAAAGCATGCAAAAAATAGTGTTAATTATGCAGTGGGTAAGGAAAAGGAGGTTTGTCCGATTTTCTCAGCAGCAGTATTGGTTTAGTTCATTGAATGTAATAGCCCACCCCGTAACCATATTATATGGTGCTCTTTAAAATGAAAACAGGCACCATAGTGCTAAAGTGGGATCCTATGGTACTTCTAGTCACCGAACTTCCACTGTATGCAACAGGTGAAGTTTGACCATTTATTGAATCAAGTAGTACCCATGTTTGCAAAAATTGCATCATAAATCATTGCACAGTTTCGTCAAGTTACTGAATCTAGTCTAGTAGAATGTGCTTTTGGTTAACAAATAAAAAGTACATTTGTAACATTACATTTTGAAAACAGTTTGTTTAGCATAGTGTTTTTTATTTGTTCCATCCTTAGTACAAAGATGGTGAAGAAGTAGTTCTGTGGATGAACACTGTTGGACCATACCATAACAGACAAGAAACATACAGCTATTTTTCACTACCCTTTTGCAGAGGGGAGAAAAAGAGTATAAGTCATTATCATGAAACATTGGGCGAGAATCTCCTTGGAGTTGAATTGGAGTTTAGTGGCATTGACATTGATTTCAAAGGTGAAGTTTAAATACATTTGTATTATGTAAGTTTATAAACACATTGTGCACAAAATTATGTTCAGTCTGAAAAAAAGTTTAAAACCGTTTCTTGACATAAACTGTTTTATATTTTGTGTAGCAGAACTATTTAATACTATTTATTCTATGTGGCATGTATGTTGATTTTAAGTTTAAAGAAATTTTTTTCCGCGGATATGTTTTGGGACTGGAATAACTTAACATTTTATTCTTTCTCATAACTCAAATTAAAAAGGTAAACATGTATAAGAAATGTGTGTGAGATTCTTTTTGATGGCATGATTTGATTTATATCTGTAGATAAACATCACTAGACTAAATATTGTTTAATTTAGACTTAAGAATGGAATTTGTTTACACTAATGTTGTACCAATTACTACTAAACAAAAACATTTCAAAATGGGGCTTAATGTATAATGATGTGACATCGATGGATATTATTTTTAAAATTCCTAACATGTTAATGAACAAACTTATTGAAAAATGGCAAGTGATGTGTAAGTTAATTTCTTTTATCAAGAATTTTTCATTTATTTATTGAGCGTAGCTTAATGCAATTGGAATGCTCTTTTTCATTAAGCTTTCTGAATCAAACATATCTAGATTTATGTAACATTTCAATTTGGCAGCCCCAAGTGTCTTGCGCACAAAAGGGAAAGTATATTGATGAACATTTAAACTTAGACATGTCTATAAATAGCTGGAGCAAAGATATGGAGGTGAAATTATTCAATGAAAGTCGGTCAAGCAACATCTAAGTATATCTTATATATTTCAGGTGATTTTAGTCACACAGAGTATTGCTCCATTGAACTATCAGATGAAAAATATCAAGCGTTTATGTATGCAGTCCAGAATCATTACTGGTATCAAATGTACATAGATGATCTCCCTATATGGGGTATGTAAATGTTTTTTGATTATTTTAAGAAATAAAAACTAAATCCTTAAATTTAGCTGCTTACCTCCAATCAAAATTTAAGAAATTCTTTGGAAATTAAGATAAATTTTAAAGTGGTCTGATTTAAAATTCTGATTGGCTTTCACTGCAACTTACAGGTAATAAATGTATTAGAACTTTTTTCGGGGATTGTTTTGTTTATTTCTTATAATGTATTATTAATCAGCAGCCCCCCATTGATTTAGCATAGATTCCTTGTGCTCACTGACATCTGGAAAAGCTTTTTTATTTGAAAAAAAATTCATAAAAAACGTTTTAACAACAAGCTTTTATGTAATGATGCACTAAAAAGTAGAAAATAAATTATAGACTACTATTTAAATAACTATAAAGAAAAGCGTGGGTCACTTTAGTATCTATTGGATACCTTTACTAATGTTAAGGAAGACACCCACGCTTTTCTTTATAGTTATTTAAATAGTAGTCTATAATTTATTTTCTACTTTTTAGTGCATCATTACATAAAAGCTTGTTATTAAAACGTTTTTTATGAATTTTTTTTTCAGTACTTTACATGTTTTATTTACAATAGAGTTACATGACTAAAAACCATTGCGCGCCGCCTACTGAACATCACGTTCAGTAGGCGCGCAATGGTTTTTGAACGCAGCTATTGAAGGTGATGACGCGTGTGGTGTGGTTGGCTAGACATGCCTACTAATTCGGTCCAAATTTTAATTAATTAATAAAAAATTAATTAGGCATCCAATTAAGTCAAATTTAGTTTCAGATTGCATTGTCTTCATGTCTTGACCCACGTGCTAACTTTGAATCGTATCGGTCAAGTAGAACTGTCCGAATTTTCACTCCTGCGTTTCCGTCTAGACTGACGACTGACGACAGACTGACGAGGAAGTGAGTTAAATAAAAGCTTGTAAAAAATTCAGTGTAGCTCTCAACATAAAGTTCACCAACTGGAGCAGACCATAATTTTGATACCCAGGTTACATTGCTGAAAATGTGCCTATTTGGTTATGCTTTTGCCTTCTGTAAAAAAAAAAAAAAAAAAAAAAAAAAGCCAAATTGCTTTTCTTGTGGCCACCTTCTGTTCCTGGTCTAGAGTTTTACATTCAGCTAGTTAAAATAACAGCTGTATTATCCAATACTTCTTAATTACATGCATTTCTCATAATGTCTCACTTCCATTGAAATGTCAAGGGGGAGGAGTTATATGAGGGTCTCAGGAATCTCAAACAATACTCAAACCAACACAATTGAGGCTAGGTATCAGTCTCTTTTATTTCTCCTCAAACATGCCCCCCAGCCCCAAATCAACCTGTTTGCTTTCACTCCAACAATCCACTGTCCTCCGCATTCATTCCTACACACCACCTTTCTCTCGCTCACAACACAGCCGCTGTCACTAGACCAGTTGCTTACCTTGTACCCTTGTTCATCTGTACAACAACATACACGTCAACACTCCCAGCCTCGCGTCTCGCTACATGGTACATACACACACGCAGTGATCCGTTCCACGTATTCTCCTTTCATACACATTAGATCACCACAAGTTGGTTGGTCTATAAATCTTATTCTTATCTACTTTTTTAAAACCAAAGCTTCAAATCGTAAATTTAATAAACTATGTAAGCATAGTTATTTATAAAATTATCAATGCCGACAAAAAAAAAAGAATATCCTGCATAAATATTCAATAAGATCGGCTGTCGTAACCAGAGATTGTAGTCAATAGTTAGTGTAGTTATTGTAAGACTAATTTGTATAACATTGTTAAAGTCCATGTTTTATTTTCCACGTCTACTTAAATTTTTCATTTATTCACTATATTCCATTATCATAGTACATTGTTTTGTGACTTTTTTTTGAGCAGGCATTGTTGGTGAAGTGGATGAAGGTGGGGATGGCCATTATATATGGACTCACAAAAAGTTTGACATTGGCTACAATGGACCCTATATTGTGGATGTTAATCTTACATCAGAAGCCAAAGTAAAGTTAAAACCTGGAATAAGGATACCTTTTACCTATGAGGTACATTTTTACTCTATAGTGTACCTGATCCATCTGACTTTTATTTTAAAGCATATTTGGTATTGTACCTTAAACGCCATGAGACAATAGGATATTATTTTTTTACAAGAATTGTGGAAATCCTGTAAGCAGATAGTAATATTTAATGAACTAAATTGAAGGAAATAATTTAAAGTAGTATAGTATAAATTGCAATGTTGGCAGCTCCATAAATCTTTTTGTTTTCAACCATTTTTATATGCTTTTTCAGAGATTAGATTTATCATTTTATGTCACTTGTATTTTATATTTTGCCAGTTACAATAGCAGCTGTGTTAGCCTCTCCAGTTCTAAGTTTTCAAGCATATTACTAATTATTACGTAACAATCCCCCCCTCTCTTCCTGCATCTTTTCTCCTTCAATGTGATGTTGGGCAGGATTCTTTATTATGAACTTTCATTGACCCGCAAATTCTCCATTAATGAATACATTTTAATATGATTATTGAAAGGCTGGTCCAACATGGATAATATCTCTATTAAAATTTAACCTAAAAATGATAAAAGCATATTTATTTCTAAAATTACCACGGTGCTGTTAAAAAGTGATATTTAAAAAGGCATTAGATTAGGGGGATGTTACTTGTGGAATTGGGGGTAATTAACACGCACTGTTTGCATTTTTTGTTTTGATTTTTGGACTTGGTTGGTTTGTTCTTTTTCATTCATGGGTAAGAAGAAAAGCTTTTTAATATACATCAAGACCTACCTAGATCTATCAAGAGCAGGCATGCCTACTGTCCGGTCAAAAGCAAAATATAGCTTTTTACATAAAATTGCCTTTGGTTAGCCTTTTTTCTATTTGCACATTTTTGCGCTTTTTCCGTTACGCTTCTTTCTGGGAACGGAAATTAAGCAATAGTATAATAGTATATTAACAGAGTATTAAACTTCCCTTAACCTATTCAAAATACTCACATCTACGGTGCATCTGGCCTTATATCTTATCTTAAGTTCTTTTCTTCTCCTTAGTAAAATAGCAAGTTCTTTTTTTTTTTTGACAGTCCGGAACTTTAAGTAGGCTGGTGTAGCATGTCTGCAAGGCTCAAACTAAATTATCTGCCCCTAATAGCCGTCACCAAACCCGTCTCTGTGATTGTAAAATGTAAACAGAGTGAACACCGCTCACCAGATCATGTGGGGGTGGGGTGGGGGTGATAGTGATAGAGAGGAAGAGAGGGGACTTCAAAGCTTGTTTTCTAACTGATCCCAGAAGAGAATTATATATATAGATACTTTATTAGATTATGTGTGCACCTGTAATTTGATATAGCCAGATAAATATTTTTTCTAAAATTTGGCTCAGATCAAACTTGATTAATAGGTTATAAATACAGCTTTTTTTCTATTTATCTGTTGTTTTTTAAATATTGCATTGAAAACCAAACTCAATTGCAAACATACATCCTGTTCCGCCATCCCATTTTCATCAGTTTGTTCCGCTTTTTGAGAAAAATTATAAAGAAAAGTAATTATCGAATTGATAAAAGAGCAGGGAAAAACAATTATCTCCCTTTGGCACACGTTTCCTTGTTTACTTACAATATTTAATCTAATACTAGATCTACTATTAATAAATAATGTGGACAATCTAGCTTTTGAACGTTCTTTTTAATATTTGCAGTTGAATTGTACATTTTAATTATGTGTTAAATAACATGAATCGAGAAAAATGCAATAAAATCATGACTAACATGCTAATTTCTATATCTCGGTAGTACTAGATACAGATCAATCTTATCTTTTAAGTTGTAACTACTAAGAAGTAACTAGGTAGATCTTGGTCTTAACTCTTGGCTTATATTTTATATTACACATACTAAGCCTTAGGCATTTGTTGTTCATATAGCGTAAAACATAGCAAGGCCGGAATAATCAAATCAATGTTATTTCAAAGCTTTGGTTTTTTATGGGGGGGGGGGGGGGGGGTGTTCTCAGGTTACTGGCTAACTTTTAAAAAAGTGTAAGTTGACATTAAGCAGTATTTAAATGTCGTCTAGAGCATGGGTTCCCAAACTGGGGGTCGCCAACTGGTAGAATAAGTTCTAGCAATGAATAAAATCTAAAATTAGGCTTTACTAACATTACTGGAAATGGAATAGAGAAGCTACAATGCTTATTGTGCAAAGTTGTTCTCAGTCATAAGTCAATGAAACCTTCAAAACTAAACACACCAAAAAAATATGGAGTTCTTTCGTGGCATGAAGCTAGTTGCAAACCTCAGAGACTTAATTGAACAAGACGTTTTCACAAAGGAAACACTGCATTAGTGCAAGCATAATAAATAAATACGTTTTTGAAACTGGATGATTAGAATGGGAAAACTGCTGTAGGCGTTATACAGATGTTGCGCCATTTATGTTTAGTTCAAAATGCCGCTGCATTATTCATCGGTATGTCCTCGCCAGCACGACTCTTCCGACTCTATTGCTAATTAAAGTCGTAAATTATATTAATTCTGGAGACCTAAACATCTGTATGTTTAAAGAGCTTTTCTACACTACAGTACGCGGGCTGTCAGAAGGAAATGTTGTGAATCGTGTTTTTGATTTGAAAGATGAAGTCAAGTTGTTCTTGGAAGCGCTAGTGACAGAGTGGTTAGAGCGGGTATCTTACCTAGCAGATATGTTCAAACATTAACATTTGAGGGTATATTATCTCTTTTCATGATAATCTTGGGGCATTTTTATCTAAACAGCAAAATTGGCGAAGAAATTTATCTTGGAAATATTGCCATGTTTGAGAAACTCTGCAGTGTGGTAGATGACTCTGTGAGATAAATAAAAAATTTAAAGAGGATTCTGGGCATCTTGAATCTCTTGAAAAAAAACTGGTGTTATTTCCCTTAGCTAAAAGAAGAGTAATCTGCATTGACAGGTTACCCGTTTTCTGCTTCCCTTTGTTGTCAACATTTACGATGAATTACAAGATAATTATTGTATTTGTGGAATGATTTCGCGTCACGTAAAGTATTTAATGAAAACCTGCTATCACAATTTTGTTGTAGTATGCAACATCATATTTAAACGTGAAATCGATTGCCTTTTGAGTTTTAGTTCATTGTGTCTACAAATCTTTGCGAGAATAGAGTTTCAACATTTCTCCAATTGAAAAAAAAATAAAGAAATAAATAAAACGCGAGAAATACATGAGGTTGGCGTTAACATTAAATAAAACTCAACCACGACTGTTGAGGCTAGTTAATAACATGTAATTTGTAATTTCACTCATCGTGTTAAAACAGTTATCAAGAATAATTCATATTGAAAGTCTGCTAGAAAATTATTTTTTTAGTGCTTATTAATTTCCTTACTAATTTTGACTTTTTATTTATATGGGGGTCGTGGGTCACTCTAAAAAGTTTGGGAACCACTGGTATAGAGGCTAGTTATATATACTAGGAAAATTGACCCTAAAAGAAGACATTGTGAGAATTGGATCTGATTAAACTTGCAGTGTGTATTATCTAATGTGTGTTAATCTAATGTTTTGGAACATACTCTGTATACCTATAAGGTGGTCAAGCTCTCTAAATTAGTGACACATGTCACTGCTGTGTTATGGACATTAGACTATTCTATTATGTTAAACTCGGTGACTTGTAGGTAGAAAGCATTAACTTGATGCTTACAATGGTGCACCAACATATGTAAAATAATAGGTTTGATGCTTAATTTTTTTTTTTACTTTTAGTTGTATATTTATTTAGTAATAAAATGGTATAGTCTTACAGTTGATAATAAGAAATGTACTATTTAAAATTTTTATTTTAGGTAAAGTGGCACACATCAAAAGTAAATTTTGAAGACAGGTTTGATAAATACCTAGATCCAAATTTCTTTCAACACAGGGTAATTATTTGTTATGCTCCTCTGTTGTTTGTATACATCAAATATATACCACTTTATTGAAATATAGCAGTTTTAATTTCAGTTGGGAGTTTTGACTAGATCCTAGCAAATAGTCATTGCCATGTTTTAGTCTCCATTATGTTTTGCAATTTAGATAATAAACAACTGCCACCTAGAACGTGAAAAAAATTACTTTGCTTATTCCTGGATAAGGAAAGAAGGAAGATTAATGAAAGAATACTTTATTTTTAACTGGACTGCTAACCCTTAAGTCTCGAGTTCGAATCCAGGTTCAAATCAGTAGACCATCCCTGAGTCCACCCAACTCTGATTGGTACCTAACTCACGTTAGGGAAAGTAAAGGCGGCTGGGCATAGTGCTGACCACACTATCTCTTCATATGCCGAGGGCACAGAAACAAGTGAACTCTACTTCACTTGCCCCATAGACCGTCATGTTTGAAAGGGAAACTTTTACTTTACTTTATTTTTAAAGTGTGGTGAAAAAGGGATTCTATTCTAAAAAAATTTTTAATTTTTCAAACTAATTTTGAATGACTAGTGTTTTCCTTAACCATTATACTATGGGTTCTAGTTGTAACAAAACTTTGTGTAGTATAGTGTATTATTCATTTTATAAATTTACTAGTTATGTTTAAAGTGTGAACATAAGCTCAAACATTTAAACACCTTTTTGTTTTAATACTTTATTTAGAGGCACAAGAAGTCTGTATTTAAAAAGTATAGTGCTCCGTTGTATTCATCGCCTTTTTCCTCAGATCCACTGGTTCAGCATTTTCAATTCTTTTATGATGGTTATCTTTCTTGTCGGTCTTGTTAGTATGATTCTTATGAGAACATTACGAAAGGATTATGCACGCTATAGTAAAGAGGAGGATTTAGATGACATGGTGAGTTGTGATTTTCATAACCAAAAAAGGAAAATTAACTGTTTTTTTAAGTAGTGGATAGTTAAAAATGTTAATAACAAAAATAAACCGGGAGTGATCTCCCCTAAACTTTCTCGAATATTCTTATATAAAATAACAGGGGATGGGAACTCGGGCTATAGAAATGATTTTTAATCCATTTTAAATACTTAAAGTTTTAAAAATAGAATAAAATCTCGTAGACAAATTAATTGCACACCAAGTGAACGCCAAATAAAAAAGCGCATAATAGCGCGCAATATTATTAGTACTTTAAAAATTTACATTAGTTTTTTGAGAAATCGGAAGTAGCGTAAATTACTACTTCCGGTCAACGGAAATGACTCAAAATTTAACAGAAGGTAGAGAATTAGATCTTTTACTTACATGTGAAATTTCATTTATCTATCTGAAATAGTACTCAAGTTATAGGCTTTTGAAAAATTCAAAGTAGAAAAAGTACCACTTCCGGTTGTCGGAAATCGCTCAAAAGTTGATACGGATCTACGATTTTGATATAATACTTATATATGAAATTTCATCAACCTAGCTATAACGGTACTCAAGTTATCGTGTTTACACACAGACACACACACACACAGACATACGGACAAGATTGCAAAATTATGTTTTTCCGTATCAGTGAGGTGTAAAACGTCGAGATTTGTAAAAATCTCGATTTTTTTTTTTTTTTTTTTGCACGATTACAATACTTTCTCTATACTACGTATATACGAGAAAGTAAAAACACCATTGAATTATTATGATATTCAGTAGGTAAGCTAGGGGAGCTACCACACCCCCTCTGGCCATTTTCAGAAAAAAAGAGATTTTATTTTCGGTTGGCACATCAATTTAAATCACTTACATTTCTTTTCATGCAGCAATTAAGCATATAGTACTAGACGTGTTAAATAATAAAGTTTGAATCATTTAATTAATTTTAAAGATTACAATTCCAATACAACTGATATGGCACCTTTATTTAAATTTACTTTATGTGCAAACTGCTTAGTGGTGGGAAACTTACAAGGTCAACAGTCATAAGGATGATGTATTATTATGACAGATATGAAACAGGAGAAACTTTATATTAATTATTATTTTAACTTGATCTAGATGTATTTTAAATTTGACTAAGGCTATATTTTGTATTTAAAAAACCCAACTAAACTTAAATCCCCACTGATACCCAAGTACAAAATATACTAGCGACAACATAATCTGATATGCAGAATCAAGTTGTCAAGACTCAAGACAAAAAGTTATTGTCTAAAGATATTTTAGAAAACATTTTTTAGGAGACACCAAATTTGAGTTTGGTCCTTGTCAACCAGGCCTCATAGATACTTATAAAATTTTTCCAAAAATTGTAAATGGACGCCACTTTAGTGCCAATCGGTACAAGAAAAAAAAAACATGAAATGTGGTTGGGAAATAATACAACACTAGATCTAGTTAGTATATTCGCCTAAAGCAAATAATATGATTTGTTTTGCTTGTTGGTTTTTTTAACTAAACACAAGTCAGACACTTGGGGTGATCCAAAATGGGGTTGTAGGAACTTAGCAAAAGGTCCAGACAAAATTGAGAAACAATAAAACTCTGAAAACACAAGATTGCGGAGAAAGAACTTTTTCTTAAGAAATTTTAATTGTTTCAAGACAGAAACACATCGTCTCATTTTAACAGCAGAAAAGAAGGAAATAGCAAACTGATTAACACTGAAAGTATTATCGATGCAGTTTTCTATTTGGAAAACCATGCATTGGCTTTTAGGGGGTGAAACCCAAGGCTTATGAGAAGCTACATTAAATGAAGGCAACTTTTTGTAACTATTACTAATTAAGCTCCTACCTAACAAAGATGATTAGCTAAAGCAACGTATAATTTTTCGGTGACAATAATGCAACATTCTTCAGTCCAGGTACATTCAAAATGACCTAATAAAGTCTATCAGTCAAAATTTTAAAGAAAATAGTCTGTGAAATTAAAATACCTAGGTATTTTGCTGCGATTGTAGATTCAACTATTGACATTAGCAGAATGGATCAACAGATATATTTTAAGCTAAAATATAACACTATTAAAAACATTATATTAAGTTGCATTTTATTTAACTAGTTTTTATTAACATAAAAAAGAACTTGAATTAAGGCAAGTGCTTTTGAATATTAATAGATTAAGTCACATAAAAGAAAGGTATTCCATTTGAGTGTTAGTCATTAAATTTATAACCTATATCTGATAATATATGTATTAAAAACATCAACAGCCAGTTTGTATATATTTTTTTTGACACTTGTTGAACTTGTTCTTTTTGTGAAATAATTTGATATATGATAATGTATATGCCAATTTCTAATTTATTCATAGGAAAAGGATTTAGGTGATGAATATGGGTGGAAGCAAGTTCATGGGGATGTATTTCGTCCAGCTTCAAACTCTTTGCTATTTTCTGCACTTATTGGTACAGGCTACCATATTGCTGTTGTTACATTGTGTGTCATTTTATTCACAATAGTTGGCGAGTTATACACTGAGTAAGTATTTTGATATGTTAAACTGTACTATGATTTTCTAGTAAACTTAAAAAATTGTGGTTTAACCTTTGATTTCAAGTTTAAACTGTCAAGTTTAGTTGCCAGAAAAAAGCCTGCAATTAATTTTCAAGTTACGATTTTATGCAACTATAACATTATGTATGAATTTAATTTCCTTAAATACTGTTTTGAGAAAAGTATTTAAAAAATTTATTTTAGTTAGTGTGGCACCTAAGATTTTAAACCTAATCATTGTTCAAGATGACTGACACAATTAGTAACTACATTTATTTACCTTTAATTTGACTCCAATTTTATTTTAATATAAAATTGGTAGCCTAAAAAATAGTTTTGAGAAGAAAGTTCAGCAGAAATGTTTAGTCTGCTAGAGTACTTCCCATTCAAACACGTCAGGTGAAATGGGCGGGTTTAGTCTTAAGTTATACTTTTGATCAAATTTTTTTTATCAATATCAGATTTTTAAATCAATGAAATTAGTAAGACAAGATAATTTTGTATGACAAAACAAGTTTGAGTCTTGACACAATAGTATTAAATACAATAATTGATGTTTTTCTCTCATGTTTCTGCTTGATATTCTCAGCTATTAGGCCAAAAAAAAGGCAAGTTTAGATCAAACACTAATTGTGCATTGTTAAAACGAGATCAGTCTGGTTGAATAGTATGCAAAAATAACAATTATATGCAGGTCTTTGTGTTGTTGAAATGACCTTGAAACATTGTTAAACAACTGAAACCCTGTATCACCATTTTTGGCAGCCATCATTACCATGACTGCGGCAAAAAAAAAAGCAACAGCCTAATTTTAGTTAGTAATCAGCATATTCAGTTTCATTTTAACTTTCTCCTCCTATTAAGATTTGTTTGCAGTGTGGTTACTGCTAATGATAAAAAATGTTAAACGTAAGGATCCTTACTCTTTTTATTAGACTGTAGGAATCCTTTTTTGAAGCTGGGGTTAACCAATGTGACCTGGTTTAATCAAAAGAAAAAACTTATTTAACCTTTAAGTTCAATTTAATTTATTTTGTTCATGATCATAAAAAAAAATGTATTCTTCAGGCGTGGATCACTGTTAAGTACAGCCATTTTTGTTTATGCAGCAACTAGTCCAGTGAACGGCTACTTTGGAGGTAGCTTGTATGCAAGAATGGGAGGTATTTTGTTTTTTCTGATAGTTTCTTTCTTCTTCTTCATTTGTAATTTTAGTGTTAGAAGGGTTCAAACTCGAGATTCATCGGTTTAGCAACCATGAGCTTTTACCAACTCAACCGCACTGATCCCTTTTCTTTCTTATGAAACCTGTAATTTAGACTTAATAAGCCTTATAAATCCAAAAAACTTGTGGTTGAGTTAGAGCCAATAGGTTGGTTTGAAACTTGTATGATTTTTAATAGGTTAAAGTTGGCAACAAGTTTTGAAAGTGTAACTATAGATGCAGATCAACATACAGATCTCAGTTGTAGTGACATTAATAGATTGATTTGTTAATTCTGTAAAACATGAAAAAAAAATTAATTATAACTAAGGTCAATAATTGTTTTAGATCTTAGATAATTATTTAATAAGCAAAAAACCTCTTCAATCCACCCAATATTTAGGTCCCGTGGAACAAGAAGTCAGACTATTGTCTAAGACTATAAGATGAATAGTAGACGTGTGCATAAAACTGCCATGAGACTAAATTTTCTTCAAGATTTTAATAATGAGGGATCAAAGTATATATAATAAGCCTAGTAAAGACTTCTTTCTTCAAGGTTATAATGTTTTAAAAGTTGCCATCACTAATTCCCTACTGTTGGAACAGGCTATCAAACTATTATTATTTTAAACAAAGATACAAAGAAAGAAAATCATAAAGTCAATTTTTATGATAAACTGGCTTCACTACATCTGCTAATTAATTAGCTGATCAGGCTAATAAAGCCCAGCAAAACTTAAGGTTTTCTGTCTAACATGTATCAAAGGTCCAGTTGGCTGAAATATTTATATTTTAAAAAGTCTATACAAATTTCAAGAACTTTTTTTATAATGTTAATAGAACACTTATACTGTTACCTGAAACAAGTGTATCTACTATGAATCTATAATATGAATCTACACTACAGTGTTAAGCTCTTAAATAGAAGTGAGCTCAATGTGTTTAGAATAGCCAAAGCAGCCTACTGTTGTATGTTTAGTGATTAAGATTTACAAAAAGATCTATATTATATGCAGATGTATCGACTATTACTAGTGTACAGGTATACGTTAGCAACACGCTAGTTATTGAAGGCAAGAAAGTTTTTTACAATAAATATAACTAACAAATCTTACTACTAGAACTACACTTTGGTATACAAAAGAAAGTATACTAAACCTAGTAAACGAGCCTGCAACTGCCACCTCTATTCTTGTTATTCTTTTACTACTAGAAATCTGCATTTAATTACAATATTTCTGAGGTAAACCACATGCTAACCTTCTTATAAATGTATAAATATAATTTTTTGAGTTAATTAATTATTAAAATATTTAACTACACATTGAAAATCTGCCATTTTCAAGAAATCCTTTTTAAAAAAAATGACCGTATGCCCTGACAGTACTCACAAGTCCTTGTGTAAACATCGATCTAATACAAAGACAATTTGTTAAAAATTGCTTAACTAGAAGTTAAACACATTGACCTGACTATTGAAGATGCCAATAAAAAACATTTTGTGTTGAGAACTTGAAGAATAAGGTTAAACAAAGGGAAATCAGGAACACATGTGAGATCTGTACAGAACGATTGTGAACTACCGATACAGGTAGAGATTGAAAATGGCACCAAACCATAAATTTTCAAAAAAAAAACATCGAACCCTCTACCTACTAGTGACTCAAGGGACATGATACTATCAATTACATCAATAATTTTTTTAATTCTTAATTAAAAATAATACAGGCGCTTAATTAAAATGGTACTTATAAGTACCATCAGTAGATAAAAGGTTAACAAGCGTACTTGCTGAAATGAGTTCAGTGTTCTTTTTTTCCTCTAGGTAAACTTTGGATCAAGCAAATGGTTGTTAGTGCTTTTATGATGCCTGCCGCAATCTGTGGAACTGCATTTTTCATAAATTTTATAGCCATCTATTATCACGCTTCTCGTGCAATTCCTTTCACAACCATGGTAATTTTTAAACTACTTGTTCACTTAGTAGAAATTAGAATTAAAAATGTAATTTCAAATTCCATGTTTGATAATAGTGCTTGTAAGTCTACGGTCTCTAAATCTACTAGCTGGCAAGTACGAGAACGAGAAGTTGTGACCTACTTACAAGCCCTATTGCTTTGTCTTGTTTATTATTTTGTTTAACAATAATAATTAGTAGTTGTTAATATCATTTAGGAATTAGCATTTTTAAATTAAAATTACATTTATAAATATTAATGCATATTGCCTTTTACAACTCAATAAAATCTTGAAAAATGATCATAATAGGTTGCTGTGACTTGCATCTGTATCTTTGTAATTCTTCCACTGACATTGGTTGGAACTGTACTAGGGAGAAATTTAGCAGGTCAGCCTGACTATCCATGCCGGATAAATGCTGTACCAAGACCAATTCCGGAAAAGAAATGGTAACATTAAGAGAATTTTTTCTTAGCTGTTGTATCACGACAGTTTATGTTAAAACCTTGTCAATAACTCAATTTTTTAAGAAAATACTTGTAGTCCCAATATCATTTTTGAAAATTTCATAATGGACTAAATAAATTTATAAATTAAAAAACACACAGTTCACACTTATACAAATATCCTTCAAAAACAACATCAAGAAACTAATACATAATGACCAAAATAAATGTATTGACAAGTGATGCTGTATTGCAGCACTGTCTCCAGGAACAAGATATTTTTTATAGTGTTGGTAATATCAATATTAAACTCAAAGTCTTGACAGTATTAGACAAGAAAGTTAAAAATTTATTTGTATTTTCTTACATAAGTAAAGTGGAAGATTTGTTTACAAAACAGTACACAAATATTAAAGATATTGAAAATTTTAATTGTTCAAAATCCTATGCAAATTATGTTCATATTAATCATGATCTCTAAATCTGCTATGATAGAATGAGTCATATTATTGTGTATTATTTTTTAATGAAAAAAAGTTTATAAATTAGACTTACTAGTTCTTATTTATCTATATGTGTGTTGCACAGTAAATATTAAATCAACTTCTCACTTCTTGCGGTGTACTTGAATCTATCGTATACTGTCCCATTTAAATACCTGAACATGGCCCATGATATAGAAATATTTATTTTCCAGGATATAACTTAAGATTATTGCTTTTTGTCTTGATCAGTAATTTATCAGTTTTGCAGGTCAAGGTAGCTTTGTTACATTAATACTAACTAGTTTTGTCTTTTCCGATTTACAATTAGGTTTATGGAACCAGCTGTTATAACAGTTTTAGGAGGAGTTTTGCCTTTTGGTTCAATCTTCATTGAGATGTATTTTATTTTCACTTCCTTTTGGGCGTACAAGATTTACTATGTTTATGGATTCATGCTACTGGTCTTCCTAATTCTGACTGTTGTTACAATCTGTGTCACCATTGTGTGCACTTACTTCCTATTGAATGCTGAAGACTATCGATGGTAAGTAAATATGTTGATTAATACTTATACATGCCTACCGCTTAATTACAAAAAATTGAATCTAGTTGAACTATTCAGCTTTCAAAATTTGTTCTACGGAAAATGCATAATTTAAAAATAAAACTAATAAAATAAAACTAATACATCTAATAGAATAAAGGAGCGGGTAAAATTCAAATATGTTCTTTGGCATTTGTTTGTTTTCTTGTGTACTTAAATGTTGATAATGTGAAAAATTTTGGCTGCAGAGATTTGGCGAGCTTTTAAAAGGAGCACACTATTTTAAAAGAAGTAATGCTTTAAAAATATCTTTTAGAAAACAAACAAAAAAAAAATGCAGAAATAAAACATTCTTTTAGAATTAGTAAATTAAATTAAATATCGATGAAATTATGATCATTTGATCAAATGATGAGCTGCTAATTTTGTTTGTAACAAAAACAAGCCTAATAGATCTAAATATACATGTCTGGAACACCTAAGCTTGAAAAGCAAACCAAAAAGAAATTTTAAAAATTGTTGAAATTATTGCGCCTTTACTGAATCAAACCAGCTAAGTTATGCTTGTTAGGTCTTATACAAAAATTTTCAATTAATTGGGGGTTAGGGCAGGGGTCGGCAACCTTTTAGACGGAAGAGCCAAAAGTTACAATTTACAAGATTTCTCAGTTTTTAATGAGCCACTAACGTTTTTTTTTTAATATTTTGGTATTTGATAAGGATTAGTTAAATAAATTTGATTTTTTATTTGAAATAAATAGCGTTAAATATGAATTAATATTGTTTCATATAAAATCAAAGTTTTCGCACAAAAACTGTTTTAGCTAGCTCTGCTATCATAAAATTAGTGATCGCATAATACGACTATCCCAATCCACTTTAGAAGCCAATAACTTATTTTTCTTTCTTTTTGGACATCACTGGCTCAGTAGGTGTCTTTCATAGCCAGGCAGGCCTCAACACAGCAAACTTCGACTAACTGGCTTGGAAATCGGTTTGATTGCTGTATCTGTCACTTCTGTCCTTCGGTTCTCACTGAGCTTATCTTTCACCCTACATGAACCCAGAGTCTTGTACTTAGCTCAACCGTAGGAAACTAATAACTAAAATACTACGTCACTTAGGTCAAATTAATGCATACTGACAGGTAGAGGAATGCATTCTTAATAAAAATAATATTCCCCATTTAACGATATTTAAAAAAGTCTGCTCATCGGCAGTGGCAAGCTTGGAATTGTTGCTACGGGGCTGGCTACAGCACAGCTGTAGGGCTGTGAGCGGATGTCCGTCCGTATACTTTCTACCTCACCTATTCTCACTGTTCTCTAATGAGTTTTGATCCTGTTTAGTTTTTTCTTTAACTTTAAGAGTATAATTTTTTTAATGAGTTTTGAAAATGAAATAATATAACTATTAATATTTGTGCACGGAACTCAAGAGCAGCATCTTGACATCAATAGAGCCGCATGTGGCTCACGGGCGCAGGTTGCCGACCCCTGGGTTAGGGGATTTTTTTTTAAAAGTAAGCTTAAATCTATTATGAAGCTATATATTAGCTGTATCTACATGTATAACTATACTAGCACTATGTTCAAATCAACTGAATGTGTTCTTTTTTAAGTAGGCATGTTTCTCTTTATGGCTTTACATTTTTCTTTGAATTTATGTATTCCTACTTTCGGTCAACAAGGGTAGGCATGTCTGCATACTTAATTACACCCTTCTTCTGAAAGTTTAAACAAAATAATCTTTTCACAACATTATGTTAACTACTGGTAGATCTAAATGGTATCTAAAAAATAATGTTTATTTTAAGAAAATGATTTGTAAATTAAGGTCAGAAGATGCCTTTGCCTTTGTTTTCTATAAAGATTTTAATTAGCTCGTAAATTTTTTTTTTTTAAGAAACATTTATCTCCTGCACAAACTCAGAAAAAATCAGACATATGCTAGTGACCTTCTCAACAGATCTAAATTGCATCATGGATCAGCTTTAAAAATATACCAAACTAAACCTGCTTCTAAATACTAAAGCTCCCCTTTCAAACCTAAAGATACATAGATCAGATATGTTAATTTTTCTTGACCTCGGCATATGAAAGAATGGTGTAAGCAGCACTATGCCCAGCCGCCTTTACTTTCTTCAATGTTAGTCATTTACCAACTTGGCGATGCAGAGATGTTCTATAGTCTTGAATCCGGACTGCTAGACTCAAGTGGCGGCTAGGTGTAGTGTTAAACACACTATATCTTCATATTCTGGGGTTACTGAAACAGGTGAACACTACATCTCTTTCCCCAAGCACAGTCAGGTATGAATATTATAAGCAGGGTTCAAATGCAGTTGTAATTTAGAAAAGCGAATTTCAGATTTTAAAGCCTAGAAAATCTTTAATTTTTGGGCTGGGTTTTTAAAGTCTGGAAATTTTTTACCCTGTGTGATTAGCGATTGGGTCTGCTCGATGTAATGGACGTTTTTTCCCTGGTTCACAAAATAATCTGGATCACTCCATTAGCTCAGTTGCCTAAAATAAATGTTGTAATATTGTACAAATTTTGCATCATTTTATAGACTAGGCGCTAAAAGAACTTTAATAAGTCTTTAATAACTGTAATATGAATTCTGTAAGTTTGTATAATTCTTTTGGAAAATTATCCCATTCTGGTAATTGTCCATATGGGCAGTGTCCCATTCTTTTTTTTTCTGATTTTTAAAAATAAAAAATTACATTTATTAGCCTGTTTGTTTACATAAGTATATGTATGTGTAAATACATTGAGATGTATAAGGTATGTTAATATATGCAAAAAAAATAAACTTAAATGTGTTTACACAGTGAGTGTGCTGTCTGGATTTAATGTTTTATAATTAATGTGTAAGCTACTTCATAACAGATTATATTTTTACTAGGCAGTGGACAAGTTTCATGGCTGCAGCTTCAACATCTGGATATGTGTACATCTACTCATTTTATTACTTTTTCTTTAAAACTAAGTAAGTACTAATTTGAGCATTTTTTTTAACAGCAACACAAAAACTTAGGCTAAAAATAATTTTTGTAAAATTCAAAATATTTATTATGTGCATTGGGAAATTGGGGCAACCAATTAGCCATAAATTATTTTCACGTTTTCTCATTTGCAAATTTATAATTATAAAACTAAAATATTATAAAACTAAAATATAAATTTATGAAATGTTTTTCAGGAAGTTTATTTTTTTTTTTTTTACTAATTATTTGATTTTGTTTTCTTTATGCTAGCGTTTAAAAGTAGATTCCGTAAGAAGACAGAATTCCACTTTTCCGGGGATTCCGGATTCAATAATCATATTTATTTCACTGACCAGATTTGCAACATTTGGTTTTTTTTAAATTTCTGGGTTTGCCGTTATTAAAATATCAAGACAATTTTAAAGTTGAAAATTTTGGCATTTTAAAAATCATTTTTTATTTATCGAGACCCCAGAGCATTTTTTTGAAGATTTTTATAATAAATGAGCTGACCAGCGACATAGCATATGCCGCCATCTAGTGGTTTTATTTTCTGCTTATCAGCAAATCATAATTTGTGAATTCAACACTACCCCCTCCCGCCCTCCCTCCCTGCCCAGTGAAAGCCGTTAACAGACAATGAAAAGATCAATCAGAAATAGTTACCTCTCCTTCATTTAAAATAGTTTAATACTAAGTTATCTGCCCCTAAGAGGTGTCACTAACCTGGACGATTGTAAACATTCGTCATGAACCAAAGCTCACCAGATTGGTGAGGGTGGTAGCGATTTGCCTGGAGAGCGGGGAAGTAAGGGCGTCTTGTCCTGCATGGTCCCCATGAAGAGAATTTTATATATATATAGATATTTTGAGGTTCAGAAAACTAGGTGTATCACAATTTTTAAAAATATTTTAGGAAATATTTTAAAATATTTTTATTAGTCTAATGCAACATTGACCTCTCATTTTGAAAGCATTTTTTCATATCCTGTTGGTGTTAATGGTTAAAGGAATGTTTTTTCATCAGAATGTATGGGCTATTTCAAACAAGTTTCTACTTTGGATATATGGCTTTATTCAGTTTGTCACTTGGAGTAATGTGTGGTAAGACTTTTTTGTTATCAGCCATTTTTTAAATTTAGCAACAATTTAAGTATAGAGAACTAAGTAACTTTAAAAATATATGCATAAATGTACAATAACATCCATTTCAATTATGAACTGCTAGACTAGTGTTATTCAACTTCTTTTCTGGATTAGGTTTTAGTAAAGGTTTTTTTAAAGTAAAAAGTTTTTAAATACCATACACAAATACACCACACAACATATGTATATGCTCATGGGACAAAATCAAAAGCGTTTATTAGCCACTCATATCCTAATAACCTGGCTAATATTTAGATTTGTTGTGACTATATCAAACATTTGAACTTAAAAATTGTTGAGTGCATTATTACAAAAGAATTGTTATTTTTCTTTCTTGTTAAATGGTAGCCTGATCTTCGTACACACTGGAGTCGACATGCACACACCCATTTGGTGATCCACAAAATTAATAGTTTTCTCAAAACTAATTCCTATATTAATATATACTTGTTTAGAATTCCTGCAGTGAAAGTTGTAAAGTCATTTACTTACTGATTTATTCCCTTTTCAAAAGTGTTTCAAACCTTTCCATTCCCTAATGTCTTCTTATTTCGTCTTTTGCCTGACTTTTTTTGTTTGCCATAGAAAATATCATTATAAGTTAGTTTTTGCTACACCTGACAACCTTGTAAATGTAACAAGTCCATGTTGACTGTGACTTCAGTTTTCATTTTTTACCTATTGTCATCAGATTATTATTGTTCTGTAGATTATGCACATTTGTGAAATGCTGTCTATGTATGTTATTCTTTGTAGTTTTTTATAACATCTTATTTCCATGGCCTTGGATTTTTTCTAATTTTGCTGTCAATATCAAAGATTCACACACTCAAAGAAGTGTAATGATGACTGTCTGTTTAGCACATCAGTCTTATTTTTGCTTGTATTGTCCTAAGTGATGTAAACACTTTGATCTGCCTAGCAGCATTGACAACTACTCTAAGAAAATGTCAGTTATTGTTGATTGAGACAAACCAAGATTGATGACAAAAATGTGGGTCTGCAACCACTGCTTTATAACATTACTCAAATTTACCAAATGGTCCACAAATTATTACTCAAATCTACCAAATGGTCCTGAACAACTGTGGAATTAGAGACTTAGCAGTCATTTAACATGTCCAAAAAGACAAATAACTTGTTTGTCAGGTATTCAAACGTAATGTATGCATGAGAAAGTGCTGCACATACACATTCCTGCCAAACATGTTTGACTGATAGCTTATTTTTGACTAACCAATCAAGTGACACAGATGATTATATAGACTGGTTTATTTTATTAGATCTTAGGCAGTATTGTATTTACAATTATTTATATATTTTCAGGAACATTTGGCTACATTGGAACAAGTATATTTGTTAGGAAGATTTACTCAACAGTGAAAATTGATTAGTCCATTGTTTATACCTTTAAAGGAATTGCAAACTTACACTAATTTTATTTTATGTATGTATATATATATATATATATATATATATATATATATATATATATATATATATATATATATATATATATATATATATATATACCTAGATGATAGCAAAAAAGCCCTAGTATAGTAGGCTATAGGAATTTTACAGATTTGTCTGATTCTTTGTTGGTTGGGGTGGTGAAGAAAGGAAGGCATGAACAGTATACCAGATCTTATTTATTGTGCCTTAATTGTTAGTGGTTATTTTTAAGTTACAAAATTAAATTTTCAATCATAAAATTGTTTTTTTTTTAGTTTGGACATGGGTACAAGTGGCAAAGCTACATATCATTAAAAAAAAAATTATTAACAGATAACTCTTAAAAGATGAGTACTGGAAAGATTTTTTTTTAAATAATTTCTTCCACATTTGTTTTTAAAATTGGTACAAGAAAATGGAATCATTTAACCTTATTCCATGCAGTGCCTTGATATCCATGTTTTTGTTTACTTCAATTTTAGTTATACTTGGGGTCTTCTAATAAATTATCAGAATATTTACTTAACACAATTTAATGGCTTCTTTTTTTTTTCTTTACTAGTTTTTGTTCTGACTAAAATTGCTCTGGTTTTGTTCTTTAATATTGAACTATTCAAATATTGAGTTACTAGTTTTTCTGTTATCAAAAGTAAAAGTGATTTTTTTCTACCCCTTTTCATATGAATGTTTATAAAAATTTAGCTCATGTTTTTTTTTTTACATATATTTATGCATTTTAGAATATAACAGTCACAGATCACTATGTGAAGTTTTGTCTGTTGAGGAGTAGTAATGAAGTTAGGGTTTTCTTAAAAACAACACCAAATGATTAACTCCTGTTAAAATGTAAAACATATCTGGATATTTGCTAAGCATTATAAACTAACTTTGAAGTATGGGTGATTATATCGCTTTGCATATTTAAATATAAAGATAAAAGTTATCTTTATTAATCTTGATCTGTGGTGTTCTTTATTGCAGTATTTTCTTTAAAAAGTGATTTATTTCAGTGACTTGTATATAATGTTTTGTAATTTGTATATATAGGTGATCAATTTTTATCTACCATTTAATTGTTTTGCTATTTATTTTGCAATTATTATTAAGACTGAATTTATGCTTTATAGTTGAAAAATTTCTCAGTTAAGCTGTTTCAAAAAGAAAATTCATTCCCATATTGTCAAGGTAATACTTATATACTATTGTGCAATCTTAACTATTTTTACTAAGCAGGTTTTAAAATTCTTGATTATTATGGTTTGTGCATAAACTTTAAATACATTTTATGAGATAACAAAGGAGCACAAACATACGGAAACAATGATTGAATAATGCTTTTCATACTCATTTTATTGCATTTTTTAATATAAAAAAAAAACATTTAACACTTTTTTCAGAGGTCAATACATTCCGTCTAAAATTATGTGCTGGTTTTCCCCCTAGATTTGAGTTATATTTTAGTAACTATATCTCTAATTTGTGAGGTGAAACATTGGTGGTTCTGTATAAAATTTAGTTTGGGTTAATTCAAAGGTTTTCAGAAATAAAATAATATTAATATTGGTGGTTATTATAATACCCTTGTGATATAAATGATCTAATAAAAAGTGATTTTTTTTTTTTTTAAATAAAACATTGTTTACTGGTTCTGTTTTGAAAGTGTAGAATATTTGAAGCAATGGGGGTTGGTTACACTTGTTGGTATATATAGTTGTTTGATACAAATTATGGTTAGTCATTTGTATATATTACCTTTATTTATGCACATTTAGGTTAGCCACATAATCCTACCTTTTTCATGACATTTTTTTTCTCAATTACCATCGAGTCTATACCTTAATTTCATTTTTTATATAGTAGTGAGTTATGTTTTAAAAAAGCAGTTTTAATTTTTTTAAGGATTATTTTAAATTAAAAGTTCAATGCAGTTATAGATTTACTATAACAATTTCCTGAACTACATGTTTTTAATACCTAACAATAACATTTGACAAATACAGAACCTACTATTGATTTGTTTGATGAGAAAATATACAAGACAGTTTTTTTTTTTTTAAATAGGCATTAAACAAAAGTATTAAAAGGTTGGCTTATTAGTACACTGATCGTGCTCTGAAAAGGAATTTTTATGTCGAGAATAAAATAATTGAATTGTTTAAAACAAAATCTAAAGCTTGGGTTAATATAATTTTATGATGGTTTAAGTAATATCCTGTTATTTTGTACATAATAGCATGGTTAATAAGAGGTAGACACATAAAGTTAGCTTTTTTTTTTGTTCTTTGTTAAAACAATATTCAATATTTAAGTTAATTATTTTACAATTTAGTGATAGTCAATGTTGAGGACTAAAGAGTTTTCCAAATAGAATCTCCATAGGAGAAGGCACAATGTCTGGATGTGATGTTCAAGACATTTTAAAACCATGATTTAGGTATCAGACTTACTCTCCAGTCTCTAGTGGGTGCAGTCTTTTCAACTGCTACCAACAAGGGGATGTAAAAAAAAATTCCATTTCTGCACGGTTCAAAAACACCATATTATATTGAGGGTTTCTATTTTTATTTTCACTGCTAGATCTATTATTATGTAGATACAAAATCAATATTTTTACAGATAATTTATTTTCCTTTACTATTTTACTCCAATATTGTTAGAACATATTGCGATTTATTCTGCTGAAATTAACTGAGGTAGAACTATTTCAATTCCAATGGTGCTTTTTTTTTTTTCTTAAAGGTGGTGTGTATGTGTAAACTAATATTGATTTGTCTACATAAGGAATATGATGCTAGAATGCAACAATGAAAAACACTATCAAGATATGGAGTACAACTTTTGTAAATAGGCCTAATCATGTTGTGTATATGTAATATATAGAAATTAGGTTTTGTCAGTGGAAAAAAAAATAATCCCACTTAACTGAAGAAAGCTATGTAAATTATTAGAGTAATTTTAAACTGCAAATATAAATTGTAGTTAAAATCTATTCAAATTTAATGAAGTAATAAATGAGGTATTTTCAGGAAATTTCAGTATTCAGTAATTTGCATCAGTCTTGCTTTTTGGTTATTTTATTTACCATAGACAGTGGTTCTTTCAGGCATCCCCATCGGCATATTGCACGGACCCCTCCTCTTCTCCTCCTTCCCCACCACCACACACACAATCTCAAAGAAATAGAACAAATATTACATTTATAAAGAAATATTTAACTTCTTCCCCCTTCCTTGAGTAAATGTCTGAAAGAAACCCTGACCATGGGCAGAGTGTTTTAATTTAGATCTATATAAAATGTGTAATAATAATTAACTTGTCTTGTAATTAAATTGTTTCTTAATAATAAACTTTGTTACAGTAATGTAATAGATCTTTGTTTGTCCTTCAAATGAAGAGAAAGTCATTATCTTCCCTCTCTTCATATGTATATTTTATTAAAAATTGAAAACTAAAAAATTTCACCAAATTTTATGAAGCGTAACATTCTTTATTCTCTGCGTCTAGTAAATTGGGTTTTCTTTTTCATTAGTTTTAGTCCACCTCAGGATCTTCATACTCCAGTCGTAACGCAAAGACAATCAGGATAATTATTCAAATGTGTAAATTTTGTGACTGACGTATTATTAGTAGGCCTCATTATTAATATTAATGATTTTAAAAGTGAGCAGTAATTTTAAAATTCGCAATCGCACAGCCTGTTAGTGTTAATATCAGTATGAGGGATTCTCCCGGAGAGCTTTCCTTGACAACTGTATGGGGCAGAGCCTTGAACTTGAAGGATGGCAAAGAGCACCAGTGATAATAATATTGATCCATCACAGACCCTGGGAAAGAACAGGACAACTTTCTACTGATGAGGAAATTAGGAAAAGATGTTGCTCAACCCTCCAACACGTATCAGCGGGGTGATTAAGGTGGAAATAGCAAGGAAAGCTCACCAAGGTCGACCGAGAAATACCTGGTGGTGCGACCTTGAGCTGTCAAAATCAGAGATGGGCTACAAAATAATACAATGACAATGCATAGGGCTGAGGACTGGAGGTCTTTGTTGGCTGCCCATATGGGTCCTATTCGACGTTTTTAAGAAGTCGAATTTATTTTTGATCCCTATTTAACTATCTAAAACTAAAACACCGCCATGCCCCCATCCCTTTCAACTATATATTACTTATTATAACTTTTTTTATTGGCCACTAATTAATAGGTTCTTATCCCTCTCCCAATTCAGCTAAAGCCGTGGCGACCCTTAGGGAACGCCATCAGGGGCAGGCATTTTCCGGGGGCAGACACTGGTAAAAGTATGTTTTCTATATAAATTCCATTTCGTTGGGGGGGGGGGGGGGGTAAAAGACTCGACATCATCGCCATCCTAATATATAAAAGCCCATGTGCGCACTTCTCTCTCTTTCCGCAAAATATTTTCGCCGGATATCACGTCAGAATCTTCAGCGATAAATGGAGACTTGCTACGGACTTTTGTTGAAAATAATATAATAGATGTTTTAAATGTATAACCACAATTTTATTTAAAGAAAAAAATAAAGGCGTATTCGAATGTAGAAAAACAGTTTCAATTATGCAACAGGAAAAGCGTCTATAGTTGTGAAAAAGAATGCATAAAACAGTGACGTCACAAATGTTTATACATTAACTAATGACGTCATCTGCCGTGTTTAGAATAAAAAGAAATGAACTATTTCATTCAAATATTATTTAGATTTACGTGCGCTATAAAATTTATACAATACAATTTTGCTCGGGCTAAACTTTAAAAAAAAAATTCTATTACGACGATTCTAGACAGAGTTTCTTCCAGGCAACTCTTCGGGGGGGGGGGGGGGGGGGGGAAGGGCCAAGTCGTCGTCGTCCCCGTCCCCGTCCCCCCCGAAAAATTCAAGTGCCCCCCCCCCCGGAGAAAAAAGTCTGGAAGAAACACTGATTCTAGATCTAGATATTCTAGATCTAGATATTCTAAATCATCTAAATCTAGAGATTCTAGATCTAGATGATCTAGATCTACGGAAAAACTAGACTTACACAGATGTAGACCCTCCCTAGATCTAGAATCTATTCAAATAATACATTTCTATACTAAAGTATTTCAGGCCTTAATTACTTTATTGAAATCTTTGTTTATCTATGCAATTTGCTAATCTCTATAATATATAAAGCTAAGTTGTCGGGTGCCCGATATGGCACTTCCCGGCGCCGCGGGCGCTTCAAATTTGGCAGGATCTTGCCTTGGGGCGACAGAACACGGGGGCCGGTTGGCCAAAAAGTCAACGATGAGGGGGTCAAAACTGACCTCGACTGACCGGCGCCTTATATGAGCTATAAATCGAAAAAAAAAATGTCCACGTAGGAACCTCTTCATAACTCCTGAGGTCGTAGACCGACCATCGGGCGAATTAATTAAAGCATTCAAATTCTCAATGTTTTCGAAAGCATAAGCGAAGCTGGGCAGCATGCCTAGTAGTGTAATATTCTTAGAGTGTTTATTATCTAAATCAGGGGTCTCCAAACTTTTCAGTCCGAGGGCCGCATTACCCATCAAATTTTAGTTCGGGGGCCAGTTTCTTCCAGGCCTGTCTTTGATTTTTCTGGGCAAAGTTCCTCAGCCATCACTAACAGACGATTTTTCCTTGGACAAAAAGATCTCCGCGGGCCGGATGAGAGGACTTCGCTGGCCGCATCCGACCCGCGGGCCGTAGTTTGGAGACCACTGATCTAAATTAATGATTTAAAAAATAATATTGATGGTTTTGTAAAACAAAGTTTAATTTTCCAAACTTACCGTTTTAATTAACGACATGTAAATAGAACAAAATCAAAGAAAATGTATCAACCTTCACAAAAACTCTAAGTAATTTGTCTAAAAAAGTGTGAAAATTACTTCCCTTAGTCTCTTAGCACCAATTACTTTCCTTGATAGATCACCAGCATGCGGCTCTTTTGACGTCCAGATGCGACTCTCCAGCTCCTTGCACAAATATTTATAGTTATATAATTTCATTTTTACTGGTCGTTGGGGTACGAGTTTACCCTGCTCGCGAGCCGCAGGTTGCCGACCCCTGTCCTAGCCAGTTAGTCGGCGTTTGCCGTGTTGAGGCCTGACTGGCTAATGGGAGACACCTCCTGAGCCGGTGATATCCATAAAGAAAAAATAAATAAAAATTAACAGCTTCCAAAGTGGATTGAGATAGTCCTAGAATACTATTTGATTACTAATTTTACTATTCTGGCGAAACATGTCTATTTTTTTATATGAATAAATATTATTTCATATTTAAAGCTATTTATTTTAAATAACAAATCAAATTTATTTAGCCTACCTAATCCTAATTAAATACCAAATATTTAACTAAAAATATGGTGGCTCATTAAAAACTGGGAAAATTTGTAAATTGTAACTTTTGGCTCTTGCGTATCAAAAGGTTGCCGACCCCTGCCTTAGACTCATAGGGGAAAAAATACGTTTTATGTTTTTTAGTTTGTTTTGATCTTGAAAAAAAAACATAATTATATAATTAGCATAGGCTGATAAAGTGAAAAGTGGTAGGTAAAACAGGAGTGTTTTAAGGGATCAACCATTTTTGACGTCCACAAAAATTTGGGATTTTAGACCACCCCCCCCCCCCCCCCCCTCACAAGCGTCCGCTTTCGACGACCCCCCTCCCCCATGTGAATGTTCACAAACATTTAGTTAATCTCTAAAACTGTATTGCCAAATTACTAAGTCAATAACATGCATTTGCTAGTTATAATTTGCTATGCTGTATATTTGATATCTCCTGTGAGTGCTATGTTCATTTTAACCCTTAAATGCATGACTTTTTAATAATGATTGAAAAAAATATTTTTATATTGTTTTGGTGGGTATATGAAGAGTATAGTCAAGTAAAAAAATATTTTTAGTTTAACCATGTTCTTTAATTAAAATCCGAAATGTTGCATGTCTGCAACATTATGTAGTAAGGTGATACTTTTTAAGACAGTTGTTGATCTTGTTACAACAAAGATATATGTTTCACTTGTGGCAAACTGTTTGAGCTTGATGTGAATTTGCACCTGTCATTGCACTATTCCACGAGACTTAGTGTCCACACAGGTCCAGGAGATCCAGGGTCCACACTTATCCAGGGTCCACACTGGTCCATGAGATCCAGGGTCCACACTGGTCCAGGATATCTAGGGTCCACACTGGTCCATGAGATCCAGGGTCCACACTGGTCCAGGATATCTAGGGTCCACACTGGTCCAGGAGATCCAGGGTCCATACTTATCCAGGGTCCACACTGGTCCAGGATATCTAGGGTCCACACTGGTCAAGGATATCCAGGGTCCACACTGGTCAAGGATATCCAGGGTCCACACTGGTCCATGAGATCCAGGGTCCACACTGGTCAAGGATATCCAGGGTCCACACTGGTCCAGGATATCCAGGGTCCACACTGGTCAAGGATATCCAGGGTCCACACTGGTCCATGAGATCCAGGGTCCAATCTGGTCCAGGATATCCAGGGTCCACACTGGTCCAGGAGATCCAGGGTCCAATCTGGTCCAGGATATCCAGGGTCCACACTGGTCCAGGAGATCTAGGGTCCACACTGGTCCAGGAGATCCAGGGTCAACACTGGTCTTGTAGATCCAGGGTCCAAACTGGTCCAGGATATCTAGGGTCCACAATGGTCCAGGATATCCAGGGTCCACACTGGTCCAGGATATCTAGGGTCCACACTGGTCCAGGAGATCCAGGAAGATACTCTGGATCACCAAGAGCATCTACTTCATATTATTCTTCAACTTGATTCACATTGATTTCTTAATGATTATGCTGAAACTAGAAGAAAAACAAGGTACTATATAATCACCAATGCTGATGTATAAAGTAAAAAAAAATAGTGCAAAAGTAGGTCAATTTGCATAACGTTGCAGCACTGCAACCAAAGTTTTGTGAAGATTTTAAAATAAATTATGAATTGATTTTCAAAACAACACATACAATATGTAATACATAGGTTGTCAGAAACATATTTTTTGAAATTCCAAAACCAGTTTATTTGACTTTGATGAACTTTGAAACGCCAACCAAAAATGCTGATATAAAAAACTTTGTGATCATGCACAAATTTGAGATCGGCTTGGCGGTAAAACAAATCTAGGTCACTTAGACATGCGCAAGCTGTAGGTTAACATTGTAGCAGTCAAACAACGTGATGCACAAAATAAAACATGTTTAGGCTAATATTTTATGGGAAAGTAACTGGTATGTTGCAGATTTGTACCGGTATGCATTTAAGGGTTAAAGAGAGCGATAGGCTGTTGATAAAAAGGATTACTGCAGTCGTTAACATAATTGAATCCGGCGCCCCGACAGGATGCTATTTGGCGCCATGAGTCTTCCCGTTAGCTCTATGGCGCCTTCGTTCGTTTTAGTGAGTAAAATAGACTATGTATAAGATGTGGTATTATAGTCGTTTACTAATTTGAATCAGGCGGGTCCACCGGCGCCCCGGCAGGGTGCTATTTGGCGCTCCGGGGGCTATACAGTGAGCACTATGCGTTTATGTTTGCGTTTAAGTTTGCATTATTTTCTGCGTTACTGTTTACGTTTAAGTTTGTATTTGAGTTTATATTTATGCTTACGTTTGTTTTTGCGTTAAGTTTAGAGTTAGAGTTAGGTTTAGAGTTGCATGTTGATTTCTCAAACGTCCATATTACCATAAAGGCATTTAATTAGAAAAGTAATTTATTTCCTAAACCCGGGCAATACCGGATATATGCTGCTAAATAAACACACAAATCATGGTCCTTTACAGATAGGTTTTTCACAGTGGCCAGGTGCAGGCAGTGGCCAGGCGCAGACCTATGTAGATGCCCGGGCTTTATATTTTCAGGGGGGGGGGGGGGGCAGGCACTGGTAAAAGTATGTTTTCTCTATATAAATCCCATCTCGGGGGGGGGGGGGGGGGGGGGGTAAATTGCTTGCTTGATTGTCGTTGAAAATTCATCTCGGTGATAGTTTTCAATAAGTAAACAAGATATATTGTGTAATACTGTAATAACAACTAGGGGGTCATCCATAAATGACGTCACGCTTTTTTGACGATTTTTACCTCCCCCCCTCCCCCTCCGTCACACGTCGTCACAAAAAGCCAGACCCCCCCCCCCCCCCTAAAATGACGTCACACCTCAACCTACAACCCCCCTCAAAAATTGCAGTTGAATTTTTTAAAAACATCGATATTTTTCCAAAATCTTGTCTAAACTATTACAATTTATTAAAACAGTTCTCTAAAACGCGAAATAACGTCTAAAATTCGTTTTCTAACATTGCTTTTTTATAGTGCAAAAATGTGACGTCGCAACATCTGAACCTTCCCCTCAACCTACAACCCCCCTCAAAAATTGCAGTTGAATTTTTTAAAAACATCGATATTTTTCCAAAATCTTGTCTAAACTATTACAATTTATTAAAACAGTTCTCTAAAACGCGAAATAACGTCTAAAATTCGTTTTCTAACATTGCTTTTTTATAGTGTAAAAATGTGACGTCGCAACATCTGAACCTCCCCCCCCCCCCCCCCCCCATCCTCCCCAGTGGTGTAGCTAGGATTTTTGGGCCCCTATGCAAAAATTATAAGTGGGCCCCTTCGTCATCCGTTAGGCTACAACGGAGTTTAACAAAGAAATCAACTCACGTTGGAGGGTTTTTAATTAATTAATAAAAATATTCTGTACATTTTGTATTGTTTACGTAGAAATACTATATTATTATGTAGGCCTACAACCCCTTAGTTTAGTAAAAATGTTACAGGCTTAAAGGTAATTTGTTTGTTTTTTAATGTGACCAAACACAGTAGCATCACAAGGTGGGGGTAGAGGTGTGGTCCGCATCTAATGACAACATTTAGGCGTGACACAATGACAAACCAATTTAAACGAATATAGGCGCCGTAGTGCCCGGGGCACATCGCTTTACACGACCGCCGGGGCGTCGGCTAATGCGCCTGTGCAATTTGAAAGCTGAATCAAGTGGTAACACTAACACGCTATGCAGGCCCCCAATCAAACGGACCCCAGGTGCAAAGATAGCCGCTGGGAAACTCTGGGTGGCAAACCGCACCACCTTATGACCGGGGCACCGCCCTCCGAAATAAAATAAACGTTCAATGACAGAAACCTTCCCAAAAGTAAGTTTCTTTCAGGCACTTTTTCAAAAAAAGTGTTTGGAAAAAAACATCTGCCTGGAGTATTCTCAACGACTTCCCAACGTTTCTAGGTGATTAAATTTGATGAAAACCAAAAACGGTTAGTGTTGATAGCGCCATATTGATTAAAGATTAATTACATCAACAAATGAACAAATGAAATGTCATTAAGGTAAAAATGAGAAAATCATTGATAAATGTTGGACTTAGCTTGTTGTGAAAACACTGTCCATGGATGTTATTTTTTTTAAATGCCTCAATCAGTAGCGTACGCAGGGGGGTGGGGTGGGGGGGGGGGGGGGAGCAGGGGGAGCGGCCGCTCCCCCTCTGGCCATTTTCAGCAAAGTGGCGCCTTTTTGGAAACTTTTTAAACTCAAAGTTTTAAACAATGATATTTGTTAAAAAAAATATTTTTGGTCGGCACATCTATGTAAATCACAAGATTTCTTTTCATGCAGCAATTAAGCATTATTGTACTAGTTTAGTAGTGTCTACGTTTACAACACGTATTAACAGCTGAATCAGTTTGCCATTCTAAAAATAACCGTTACGATGCATTGCAACGTTTAAAAAACCTCTACGGTAGTACCACTTGGCAAGAGGGGTGTTAAGTTTAAGGCAACTGTATAATGTATTTGCTTACGAATAATTGAATTAGAAAATGTTATACATAAAACTTCACACATAATTACTTTATATATACAGTTTGAATCGTGTGATTAATTTAAAAAAAATTACAATACAGAAACAAATACAACTGATGTGGCACCTCTATTTAAATTTACTTATGAGCAAACTGCGTAATGGTGGGGAAATTTTGACGTCATCACGATGAAGTAGTAGTAGTCTTACAGTTTGGGCGATAGTGATTACCATTACAAATTATATGAAACAGTTACAACCCCCCTCCCCCATGGACCCCCTCTGTAAAAAGAATATTGTCATAATACCACTGCTACTTATTTAAATCTATTTCTGTAATATATATTTGTGCAATATATATTTGTGTAATATATATGTATGTTTAGAACAGTAATCTAAAAACTGACGCTATGTTCACTCTGAATTGGTTATCTCCCCCCCCCCCCCTCACCACCACAGTTGTGTAGAGCGACATTAATGTCACACCTAGGTATACACCGGGTTGGATAATTGACCTAAAGTAAACGGACAGTGGTGAATGAAGTTGAACCCCCACCCCCCAACCCACCCCGAACAGATCTGTTAAGTACATGTAGAAAAACGCGTAATGATGTACCAAAGTACCATGCCGCCAGAAAATTAGCTTTTTAAACGTAACACTCTGTGAATATTGTTTTTGCAATTACCAGGAAAAAAGTTGTGTGATCAATACAGTGATCTAATCAACACCTATCACTATGTTAAAAATGGATCACTCAAGAACACAAAGAAGCAGTAGTTAATTAAAATATATGATCTGAACTAAAAAACCGATTATTAGTTAAACGTAGGCTGTTATTCCGAATGATTTTCTACTATATCAAAAAGCGTGGTTATATACCAACTCTGATTTTAAAAACTTTCATTATGCTGTAATACTTTAGCATTTATGATGACGATATATTAAATTCGGATTATAGACAAAAACATTTTGTAAACACAAATAGTGTTAAACAATTTCATTATAATCTAAAGTTGACATTTATAATTAAATGTGTAGATATATACATATTTATATTAAGAGAGTGATAATTTCCCATATTTAGTGTTTTAAAAATGGATCACTCAAGAACACAAAGAAGCAGTAGTTAATTAAAATATATGATCTGAACTAAAAAACCGATTATTAGTTAAACGTAGGGGGGGGGTGCAAATGAAAAGTTTGAGGGGGGGGGGTGCAAATGAAAAGTTCGAGGGGGGGGGGGGGGGTGCAAATCGAAAATTGAAAGTATGTCCCCGGGCGCCGGGAAGGGTCGCTACGCCTCTGCTACGCCACTGCCCCTCCCCCTCATCACACATCGTCACAAAATTACGGACCCCCCTTCCCCCCTACGAGTGTGACGTCATTTATGGATGACCTCTAGGGGCCTATAAAAAAAAATTACGCAGAATTAGAGGGCTTAAAATTTAATAGATCTATACGAGCCCTTTTTATTCATTTTATTATAGAATCTATGAAGTGAAAAACTACTGCACTTGAGTGACACGTGCGAAAAAGGCGTTTTTTTTTTTTACGGCCGTTATTACAATATTAGGCCCTATACATAACAACTACTAAGTCAAAACTCGAAAACCCAAAGGGAAACTACTCTAATATTTTATTAGAAGTTGAAAATTTCAGTGTATCAGATTAGTGAGAGTGTAAGTTGTAAGTCTCTGGACACAGTAAGTCTTTTAGTTGCAGTTGTTCTTTTACATCTAGACTAGAATCTTACTATTAAACCCTAGTCTAGTGATGCATATGTCCTGCTGTAGTGACAATATACTGAATATAGATAGATCTAGATCTAGATCTAGAATCTAATTTTAAATTTATATTAACTATTAACTGTTACTGTAAACTGTTGTAAACAGTAGGCCCCCTAACCATAAACAACAGCGAACATGTAGATCTAGATTCTAGATCTAGGTCTAGATCTAGATGACAAGAAAAACCAGGCGAATTTTTTTCCGCCTAGAATCGGCCTTAATTATTATTAACTATAGACCTACTAATCTATTATTATAATAATATTATAGGCCTAGATAATTATTACTACTTATTAGAACCCAGTGGCGTGCAGAGAGGGGGGGGGGGGGCGGACGGAGGTCAGGCCCCGGGCATCCACCACTGGGAGACATCCACCACTGGGGGACATCCAGCGGAGGTGGAAATTTTATTTTTTAAAAAATTTAAATTTTTTTTTTTTTTAGTAATGTAACTTTCCATATGTTTTGCGATCTCACTCAAAAAAATTGTAACACTCAATCGTCTGTCACTTGTTTTAACATTACACTGTCCGTATAGCAAAACTTATATAGAAAAAGCGGGCATCAGTGAAGGGTAGTCCTATGGAAGTCAATGATATTCCCTTAATAAATGTGTGTGATATTTATTTAGTGTAGTGTAGGGGCATCGTTTAGAGTACTTGTGACCAAATTATTCCCATGCACTGTAGGGGCATCTTTAAAGTAATATACACATATTCGTTATACTCATTTTCAAGGACATCCGTCGAGTAATTATATCATATTTGTTTTTATACACTGTAGGGGCATCTTTAAAGTAATTATTCGTATATTCATTTTATTATATTTTATGAGCATTTAGTAATATGCCTACTTCACTTTATAATACATTTTAAAGGCATCCATAGAGTAAGTATGCCCATCTTAAATTAATATATTGTAGGGGCACCTAGAAAGTAATTATGCTTATATTCATGTAATACACTCGAAGGGCATGCAACAGTAATTACACCAATCATCGTTATTAACATTGGGGGCATCTTTAAAGCTTTTTTATGTACTTCTTCATTATGATCCATTCTAAGGGCATCCAAAGGGTAATTATGCCCATATTATTATTATAAATTTTTGGGGCGTCTTTGGTGAAATATATGGCCATTTGTAGTGTAATAACGCCCAAACTTTTTTGTTTGTTAAATTGTATGGGCAGCCTTCAGTGGTGTAACTAGGATTTTCGGCCCCCTATGCAAAAATTAACAATGTTAATAATGTTAGTCGCCCACCCTCTCCCACACTGAATGCCACTGCCTGTACACTAAGAATGGACTTGGGTACTTTTTGAAATTAAATTATTTCTACAGTAGAAAAGAAAACTTGATTTCCATTTAAAAAAAAAATTTATATAAAATAAATATCAAAATTCCAATGTAAAAGTTTTAACTTTTTAAAAGAAGAACTTTTTAAAAGAAGGAAAATGGCCCCTATTTGCCTTGGGCCCCTATGCCTTGCTTACTCTAGCTTTACTTAGCTACGCCACTGGCAGCCTTTAGAATATATTTATTTTCCTGCATTATATAAGCATACTTAAGAATAAGAATGCCCATATTATTTTTGATAAACTGTAGCGACAATGTCAAGAATACGAATCAACATATTGTTTTCGATACATTGTAATATCATTCAGAATAATTGTGCCCTTATTGATTTTTACAAATAGGAGGAGCATGCTTAAGTAGTGTTAAAGTTAAAGTATTTTAGTTCTGAGTAGAGTTTCTTTAAAGTAATTGTGGGCACATACAGAGCCAGTTTTATTTCAGTTAATAGTATAGCTATCTATAGAGTTATTGAGCCCATTTTGATATAATGAAATGTGGGGATGCGGTGTGGGTTTTTAGGCTATGGAAGCCATTAGTGGATTATCCCCCACCTGAACTAGACAGGCGTTACCTGGGTGTTAAATTTGGGAAGACACGTCTAAGTTGTAGGGAGGGTCTGACATAGCAAAGTGGATTTTTAAATGTATATATTTTTTACATGTATATATGTATATATGTATATATGTATATATGTATATATGTAAATATGTATATATGTATGTATGTATGTATGTATGTATGTATGTATATATGTATATATGTATATATGTATATATGTATATATGTATATATGTATATATGTATATATGTATATATGTATATATGTATATATGTATATATGTATATATGTATATATGTATATATGTATATATGTATATATGTATATATGTATATATGTATATATGTATATATGTATATATGTATATATGTATATATGTATATATGTATATATGTATATATGTATATATGTATATATGTATATATGTATATATATATATATATATATATATATATATATATATATATATATATATATATATATATATATATATATATATATATATATATATAAGTATTTATGGGGGCATCTTCCGCTTGAGTTTGTACTGGGCATCTACATAGGTCTACACACCACTATTATAATCTATAATATAACGCTGGTGGTAGTGTGTCAGTCATTCCGTCATTGCTATAGATTTTGGAACCATAAACGTAAAAGTAAGCTTCAAATTTGAAGTGCTTTTAAATTGCATCGAATTGTATTATTTAAGATATTAGAGTAGGGTTTCTATAGGCCTAATGACTTAAATTTATTTTATAAAATTGCCACCGTTTTTACTCTTTCGCATAACGTGAAGAAAATATAAAATACACTCACATTACAAAAACATACTAAAGGGATCACTGTCAAATAATAACATCGCTTAGATTTCTAGAAAAAAAACGGATACATTTAATAACAGTAACAGTAGGGGGGAAAAAATTAATTACTTAAAACGTTTATTCCAGGGGAGGTAAGTTTTAAAACATTCAAATTACGCTAATAAAATGTGAATGCAAATTTCGCGGGCATCCAAGAGGGCATTATTGTTGGAATAATATAATTAGCATGGGTTGATAAATTGCAATATGTTAGGTAAAACACGGGTATTTTAAATACTACCTTTTATTTACTTTATACACAGTTTACTACTTATTATTTTTAATCAACAACAGTTTAGACGTCGCTCTTATATGTCCTCTATGTTTACTTCTATCTTTCCGCATGCGGAGAAGCTGGGGGTTTTATAGTCGTTCACTAAATTGAATAAGGGGCGTCCGCCGGCGCCCGTGCAGGGTTCAATACTTTTGCTTTAAAGGGTGCGATAAGCTGTGGGTAAAAAGGGTTACTATAGTCGCTCACTAAATCGAAACAAGGGCGTCCTCTGGCACCCCGAAAGGGTGTTATTTGGTGCAATGGGCCTTCCCGTGAGCCCTATGGTGCTTATGTTCATTTTAAACAGTGCGATAGGCTATGGATAAAAAGGGTTACTAAAGTTCTTCAGTAAATTGAATCCAGGGCGTCCTCCGGTGCCACAACAGAGTGCTGTTTTGGCACCCTGGGCCTCCCCGTGAGCGTTATTAGCCTACGTTGGTTTAAGTGAGTGCAATAGTCTGGATAAGTTGGGTTTTATTGCCTTGGGTCTTCCCGTGAGCTCTATGGCGTCTGCGTTCGTTATAGTGAGTAAAATAGACTATGGATAAGTTGGGTTTTACAGTCGTTTTCTAAGTTGAATCAGGCGGGTCCGCCGCCCCGACAGGGTGCGATTTGTCGCCACGGGCTGGACTGTGAGCGCTGTGCGTTTATGTTTGCATTAGGTTGGTATGTATGTTATGCGTTATTGTTTGAGTTTAGGCTTGCGTATTGCGTTTATGTTTGTGGTTGGGTTTGTGTTTATGTTTTTTTGTTTGCATTTGCGGTTTCTTTTGTGTTTATGTTTGCGATCTGTTTATGTTTGTTTGCGTTTGAGTTTCTGTTTGTGTTTGCATTGTGTTTGAGTTTCTGTTTGTGTTTTCTTTTGTGTTTAGTTTTGTTCTGTTCCATAGTCGGTACATTTAAAAAAGACTCACCGTGGTGGAGCACGGTTATGCAGCTAGTATTATTATGGTAATTGTTTGAGTTTAGGCTTGCGTATTGCGTTTATGTTTGTGGTTGGGTTTGTGTTTATGTTTTTTTGTTTGCATTTGCGGTTTCTTTTGTGTTTATGTTTGCGATCTGTTTATGTTTGTTTGCGTTTGAGTTTCTGTTTGTGTTTGCATTGTGTTTGAGTTTCTGTTTGTGTTTTCTTTTGTGTTTAGTTTTGTTCTGTTCCATAGTCGGTACATTTAAAAAAGACTCACCGTGGTGGAGCACGGTTATGCAGCTAGTATTATTATATAGGCCTAGAGTATTCTAATTAATAGGCTAGTATTAGATATAGATCTAGTTTAGGTACGTAAAATCACCGTGGCTAGTAATATTAAAAACAACTTAATAAAAAGTCTAGTGACAATTTAAGCGCAATTACCTTAATTAATTAATTTTTTGTGACCGAACGAATCACCCGTAGATGTTTGCACAGACGAGCAGAGCTAGTCCCCGCCCCCTCGCGAGATCTGCGCGAGTCTGGCCAATGGCAGCGTGTTACAAGTAGACGTTACCTCTCACTAGCGACTGCCTCAGCCGGTGTGCTTGGTTTGGAACTTCATATATATATATATATATATATATATATATATATATATATATATATATATATATATATATATATATATATATATATATATATATATATATATATATATATATATATATATATATATATATATATATTGTATATATATTGTATATTCTTAGTAATCTTAGCCAATACAAATTAGAAGAAATTAATTTTTTTGTGACCGAACGAAAGGATATTTTTGAAAACTTTTTTCGGCAATATTGTTCTAAATTATGGCAGAAATCGATTGGTAAATGTTTCAAGTCGCTAAGTGGTCTGGTTGCCGAGATATGGGCCAAAAACTGCATTTTTTCGAGGTTTT